TACCGAAAGCCTCGACTGCTCTTTTGGGGTGCTGTGACCCCGGAAAGCGGCACCAGCACGGACCGGCGTGACCGCGCCTCCCGGGGCTCTGGCACGTGGCTTGCACCCACCTGGAGCGGTGGGGCTGCCGCCGCGCCTCCCCAGGCGTCCCAGCTCGCGGGGCAGCGAGGGCTGCTCCGGACGCACCAGTCACGACCGCCTCCGGAGCCCAGCGCCAGGGCCCCCTCAAACCTCCCCGCCGCCCCCACGGCGGCCGTCCGGGCTAAGAAAAGCAACCACGCACGGCTACCCCAACAGGTGGGCCCCAGAGCGGCGCGGACAGCTGGGCGCCGGCGGCGCCAGGCCTCGCTCGCTCGCCCGGGCGGGAGAAGAAGGCCACGGCCCCCGCGAGGCCTCGGGAAGCCCGCAGGCCCCGGCCCGCCCGGTCACACCCAGCTCCGGGCGCCCGCCCCGACTCACCTGCCGACGGATACCACTCAGTGCCATGAGCCGCGGCCCGGACCCACCCCGCCGAAGATGCCACCTGCCCCACGTCGTCGTCCCGCGGCTCCCACGGCAGCAGCCACCAGCGCCACGACCACTCGTCGGGAACCCAGCGCGCATGCGCCCGAATCCCGGGTGGCAACGGCGTCACGTGGGTGCGCAGTGCGCAGGCCTGTCCCTCGGCGCGGCCCCCGGGCGGCCCCGCCCCGCCCCGCCCCGCCCGCACCCCCCTGGGTTTCCCGTAAGGAAAGCGGTGGTTAAGGACTCGCACCAACCCTCCTTTCAAACACGGAGGCGCAGCCACCACCCCACCCCATCCCCAGCCTCAAATCAAATACCATTACTTTTCCCCGGGTAAATCTGTTGAGGTTTTACAAAGCTTGGTCCGCGCTTTATCCGGCTACCTAAACGTGGACAGAAATAAACCCCCAAATCTTAGGATAGGTCTACCCAATCTCCTAACTCAAGACAATAAAGGAATCAGAGGCTTGAGGGGCTGGTTATTAATGATCCACGTAATATTTTCCTATAGACAATGGAGTCCACTTCTGTTGATAGTCTCAAAGGGCTTCTTTAATCTTGCTCACAATATCCCTTTTAAGAAGCACTCCCTGGAGCAGGAGAGATGGTACAACAGGTAGGGTGATCCGCAGCATCCCAGATGCTCCCCTGGGCACCCAGGAGTGATCCCTGACTGCAAAACCGGGAGTAAGCCATGAGCACCACAGGGAGCGGGACACACACAATCATCATCATCATCATCATCATCATCATCATCATCACTGAATAATAATAATAATAAATGTATATTAAAAGAAAATCCCCAGGTTGAAGAGGTAGTACTGTTAGTTGATGCCTTGCATGCAGTTAACCTGGGTTGTGTACCATACCACATACAACACTCAATCACAGTCAGGAGTGGCACTGAAAATAAAGTTAAAATAGGGGTCTGAGTGATGGGACAGTGAGTAAGACACTTGTCTTACATGTGGCTGACTCACATTCCATCCCATAAATTCTAAGAACACTAAAGAGTGATCCCTGCGTGCAGAAGCAGAACTAACCCCTGTCCATAGATACCACTTGCAGAGGGTGACCAAAAAAACAAATAAAGAGAAAAGAAAAACAAGAAAAAACTCCCCCACCACCCAAATCTGATCTCCAGTTTTCCCAAATATGGTCTATCTAAAGTTTCATGTGTGCTTCAAGAAATATTGGATTGGAGCGGTAGCACAGCGGGTAGGGTGTTCGCCTTACAAGCGGCCAACATGGCCGACCCGAGTTCGATTTCTCCGCCCCTCTCGGAGAGCCCGGCAAGCTACCAAGAGTATCTCGCCCACACGGCAGAGCCTGGCAAGCTCCCCGTGACGTATTCGATATGCCAGACACAGTAACAACAAAGTCTCCAATGGAGACGTTACTGGGCCCGCTCGAGCAAACAATATAAAACAAAATGAAATTCCCTATCCATAACCCAGTCTTGTTCATCATGAACCAGCTTATCAGCATCTTTGCTTCCAAATATCAAAACTCAGTTTTGAGGGTAGTGAGTGGGGTGGAAGGACATTCTGACAGAGGTTAGGTGACCATAAGGAATGTCCATAATGGAACTGGTGAGCATCCTGCAAAGCAAGCACCCTGCCCAGTGTATTAACACTCCCACACCAAAACAATGTTCTTACCCTCTTACCTCCAACATTTAAGTGTTCACCCTGGGAAGGAGCAATTAAGGGAGTGATGTACTGGGATTAATGTGGAAAACCCTGCAGGCACCATCACTCACTGGCTTCTCTGGGTGCCAGCATCTTCACCACTCTTCTATTTCCTTCAGCCTTTCCTAAAGTGATTTCACATTCATTAGTAAATAAAATTAATTTATCTGTTCCTTCAGCTTTATTCACTGCAGAGCTATTGCTCTGAGCTAATTTTCTACATCCTATATTTCAAGCCAAAGTGCTCAAACCTCCACTGCAGGACAGAAATAACTCAAAGGGATGAGTCTAGATGGAGGCCAGGGAGACCACAGTAGTCCTTGAGCAGCTTCATGTATAACTGCCTCCTCAAAAAAAACAAAAACAAAACAAACAAAAAAAAGCACCTCTATCACCACTCTCTTTAAGAAAAACCTAAACATTTCAGAACTGACAACATTCCAAAACTTGTTCAGCCTTCCAACTGATTTCTGCAGGAAAGAAAGGGGGATGGGGGTGGGGGAGCGGGTTGGGGGAAGGGAAGGAAAGAGAAGGGAATTCAGAGGAACCTGTGGTTCCATAACAGAACTCAGGTCAGGAAGCTAGCTCTAAGGGTTGGAGCTCAGACTTTGCATGTGGAAAGTGTGGCTGGTTCCCATCCAGAGCACCCTAGGATTAGTCTCCAACATTGCCAGGATTAGACACTACCTAGGTCACCAGGTGTTACTTTCTCCCCAAAATTAAGTTTTGGACAACTATATCTATTGCTTTATTTTGGGCTTTTTTTTTTTTTTTTTTGGTCACACCTGGCGATGCTCAGGGGTTACTCCTGGCTCATGCACTCAGGAATCACTCCTGGCGGTGCTCGGGGGACCATATGGGATGCTGGGAATCGAACCTGTGTTGGCCATGTTGGCTGCGTGCAAGGCAAACACCCTACCCGCTGTGCTATCGCTCCAGCCCCTATTTTGGGCTTATTTTATTTATGCTCAGGGTACCCAGAGGCAACCTCTGTCCCTCATTCCCAATCCAATAGTGCCAACAACTAGGTAAAGGTAAAGGTAAAGGCCCTCCCGTTGATCGTCGATTTGCTCGAGCGGGCCCAATAGGGCCGCGTGTAAGGCGAACGCCCTACCGCACAGCGGGCCGACCCGAGTTCGATTCCTCCGCCCCTCGCGGAGAGCTCGGCAAGCTACCGAGAGTATTCGATATGCCAGACACAGTAACAACAAAGTCTCCAATGGAGACGTTACTGGGCCCGCTCGAGCCAACAACTAGGATTGTTCAATTCTAGGTCCTGACCATGTGACGCTGCTCACCCAGGTGCTTGGGGGAACTCCAGGATGCTGTGTTCCAATGCTAAGGGCTATGAGGTACAGTGGATCAAACTCAGTGTATAATGCAGCACTCTAGTCATTTGAGCTATCTCCCTGGCCCTAAAACTATTGGGTTTCTTGGATTTTTTTTATGTTTTTATTTTTTTTTTGTTTTTAGGACACACATGGCAACGCTCAGGAATTACTCCTAGCTCAGCACTCAATCATTCTTGGCAGTGCTTGGCGGACAATAGATTGGATTTCAGGGATTGAAACTTGGTAGACATTGTGCAAGAAAAGCACCTTACCCACTGTACTATCTTTCTGTCCCCTACAACTACTGCTTTAATGAGACAAATCATAAAAGATTGAAGCAAAGTTTAACAAGGATATCAAAGTTACAAATGAGTGTAACATAGATATGGGTTAAGCCAGAAGCCCATTTACTAGGAATGTTTGTAAAAATGTTGAAAGGATTAAAATAATGAAGAATGTAGCACTGTAGCACAGTCCTCCTGTTGTTCATCGATTTGCTAGAGCGGGCCCAGTAACGTCTCCATCGTGAGACTTGTTGTTTCTGTGTTTGACATATTGAATATGCCATGGGTAGCTTGCGAGGCTTTGCCATGTGGGCGAGATACTCTCAGTAGCTTGCCGGGTTCTCCGAGAGGCTAGAGGAATCAAACCCAGCTCAGCCGAACCGGCTCTGCGGGAGGCAAATGCCCTACCAAAATTAGTCTCTGGCTTCCAAGTATCATCTTTTCAGAGATCTTTTCTTTTGGGCCACGCTTGGCAGTGCTAAACGATCACTCCTGGCAGGATTTAGGGTTTGACCATACAATCAAACCCATGTCAGATTAGTGCAAAGCAAGCGTCCTGCCTACTTATCTCTCCAGCCCCTAGACATATTTTAATTAATAATTTTGGTTTTAGGTGGTAGTAGGCTATAAATGATGGTGGTAGGCTATAACTACTCACAGGTCTGTGCTCTGAAAACACACCTGGCTACATGCAGGGACCATGAGATGCTGGTTATTGAATCTGGGACTCCTATGTGCTAGAATTTATACTTTTACACTTTTCAGACTATTGAACTATCTGTTGATCTCAGCCATCATACGCATAAATACATATATGTGTGTGTTGGTTTTTACTTTGCTTTAGCCATAATTGGAAGTCAGTATTTACTACTGGCTTTGCACTCAGGGATCACTTCTGGTGGGTCAGGGGACTTTATGGGGTGCTGGTGATCAAACCCAGTCCGCCATATGCGAGGCCAGTTCCCTAACCGATATACTAGCAATCCAGCCTCCACCATCATATTTTAGAGAAAAGAAAACTGTGGCATAGAGCTAGCAAGTGACCTGTTCAATTCTGCAATGCTAGAATGATAAAGGAAGTCTACAGAGCATGGTCAGTATTAAGAATAGCAAGTGAGAGTGAGAGGTTAGTATTACAATGCATGATTTCTTTTTCAGAAGTTGGAAAAATAGGACACAAATCACACATCTACAGAAATAAATCTTTTTATTTTATAACATTCCTTTTCTTTTTTTCTTTTTTCTTTTTTTTTTTTTTTAAGATGCATACAGTACTTGTAGCCCAAGAATTCTGAGAAAAGCTATAGAAGACCTGGCACTATTTTTGAGAATCACACAACTGGGCAGCAAAATAACACCTTTATAAATGTCAGGACATATAGAAATAAAATTTAGTGTTTGTACACAAAAATAGGGAAATTACATTCAACACGTTTTCTTAAACGTGCATTTAAAATGTTTAAATGTTCTCTAAAACTTTGGTCATCATGCTTCATTATAACTTGTCAAATTCACAATTATGTAGATGATTAAATTCAAATGGTAAGCAAATATATCACATAAACACAGTAGCAAAAGCAAGCTAATACTGCACAATCATATTAGCAGACTGATTTCAGAAATAAACTTTTCCACAAATAGCACACAAAACTTAGTTTGTGATAACATAGTTCAATGACTTTTCCATCACTTTATAAAATAAGGCTGAGTAATGAGACATAGCAGAACATGATTACATAATAAAAAGTATATTTTTAATTACAAATCTAATTGTACATGTAGGGCAACAAAATGCGATTACTACAGAATAGTGCAAATGAGCAGAACTTTTCTAAAAATATTAAAATTGGATTCATTTCGTGTGCATCAGATTTCATGAATATTTAGGTTACATAAATGTTAGGTTTATATGTGATGGGTACAAGCTGTAAGGTTCATTTAGGACAGATGTGTACTCTAGCAAATAAAAATAGCTACTGACTAAACTTACTGGATGAGGGGTACAGGCACTGAAAATGTAACTTTCAGAAAGTTTCATTTGTTACCATGTAAACAGTTTTTGTTCATCACAAATATTTCATCAAAGATTCATAATTCATTTCAAATAGTCATATCAAGCAATTCCTCTAAATTCTTTTTGATATGTGGTGGTTGACATGTGGCCTGAATTAACAGATTCTGACCCATCTGTGCAAAAAGTGCTTTAGATAATTTAGCTGTAGCTGTTCGTATATTTCCTCCAGCTCCAGGCAGAGAGCCACTATTTGTCATGTTCCCTAAAAGATGCCATAAAACAACCAATACTTTCTGTTCTATGGCATGGGGTTTCCTCTGATAAAGTTCCATAACAATATCTGAAACACAAAAATAAGGTAAACAGTGAGGTTTTCAAAAAATAAATTCGAGGAACTGGGGAGATGACTCAAAGGGTTGGCAAGCGCCTAAGTTCAATACCTGGCATCACATGGTGCTCTGAGCACCATGGGCCTCAGCCCCCACCCCCTCTACAGAGCTGGAAATAGTCCCTAGGCAAATCAGGTGATGCCTCAAAACCAAACAAAAAATAATCCAAGTTCTGTTCATTAGAAATCATACACTCCCAAACATTTAAAAATAAAAATAAACATGTTTTCCTCCCAAAGATTGTAATATTTAAGTATAAAATGACTCATATGATTAGTTCAGATAAAAGTAACAAAGATGGGAATCAAGTTCAAATTCATTTTACTATCCAAATACAGTGAAATATAGACATTAATAAATTCATAAACATTTTTCCCCCTTAAATTCCGGGTCACTGGCTGTGTTTGGAATACCATAAAGGGTACCAGTTTTTGGATGTGGGTTGGCTCCTGGAAGGGACAGGGGACAATATGGAATGCCAGGGATTGAATCTGGGTCAGTGACGTGCAAGACAAGCACCTTATCCAATGTATCACCTCTTCGGGTCTATCTTTTTCTTTTTTATGTATTTTGGGCAACACCTGAAGATGCTCAGGGGTTACTCCTGGCTTTGCCCTCAGGAATTACTCTTGGCAGTGCTAAAGAGACCATATGGGAACCCAGGGATGTAACTCCGGATAGTGGCATGCTAAGGAAATACCCTACCCTCTGTACTATTGCTCCGATCCCATCTCTTGTTCTTAAAACAGTTTTCTATGCACACCAACATTGGATTTTAATAAAAAGTTTTGTTGCACTTTTTTGTATTCTCAATTTTGGTTCACATCCAGTGATGCACAGGGCTTGATCATGGCTCAGCACTCAGGGCCCACTTGTGATGGTGCCTGAAGTGGGGGTTGGTGGTAATGGTGGTGGAGGTGATGGGATGCGTGTGCGCGCGCGGGGCAGGGGGGGAAGGGGAGGGGAAGAGGATAGAACCAGGTCTGACCACATGCAAATCAAGTGTTTTATCTCCAGTACTACCTCTCCTGTCCTTAACCTGCTTATTTCTATTAACAGAAAGATTAATAACTTCAAAAACCAGGATGAAATTAGACCGAAAAAAATTTTTTCAAGGGTGGGAGATACAGCACAGTGAGGCAGGGCACTTGCCCTGCATGCAGCCAACCTGGATAAAATTTCTAGCCACACATATGGTAATGTTTCTAAGTGTGGCGCAAACCCTTCCCCACAAAATATGGGGTAAATGTTTTAAAAGGTGCATATTTCTGGGGTTGAGAAGATAGCTAAATAGGTTGACTACATGCACTGAATGTAGGAGGTCTGAGCTAGATTTGTGACAGGACATGAGTCCTCCAGGCACTGACAGTATTCACACCTGAGCACAGACTTAGGAAGAGCCTATAGATGTGGTCTCAAAACTGAAAGGAAAATAAAAGTGCATTTGTATTATTACACAATTCTATTCCTACTTCAGGGAAAAGATAATAAATTTAATAGTTATTTTAATATTAAATTTAAACATTCATCAATTCACCCATAGTTAATAAAACATTACTTTAGGAATAACAATTAAAAGATATTTACCAGCAAGCTTTTCAGTCATATCCTGCTTCGCTTTCCCATTTAAAAACTGAGCTTTTGTGCAAAATGGTTGTAGAAGTAAGTAATTGTCTAGACAAAAAAGAACAAACAGAGACATGTTTAAAGAATTGTGGAATTTTCCATATTTTCTAATTATATAGCACTGAATGAAAAAAGTATGTAAATAAATATTAAAATGTTTAAATCTACAGATAATCTAATCTTTTTAAACAATTTTAAAATTATTGGGCTGGAGATAAGTCTCAGTCATATATAGCAGATGTCTTGGATATGTAACAGATTAGATAAATATAAATTTAAAATTCTCTATAAACCCTGGGGATGGAGCCAGAAAGAAAAACTAGATCTCTCATATAGTTTTGCTAATAAGAATATAAAGAACATGGTGGCCGCCGCCTCAGAGCTTATTGGACAGCCAGGTATGAGCCAGTGGTGATGGGGCAACTGCAGTTTCATGGGATGGGGGGCAGAACCAGCATGTCCTTCTTGCCCTGCGAGACCTCGAGTTGACCCCACGAGCGGCTCTCTGGCATGGCCATGGACCCACAGGCACACAAACCAATCTCAGAACTATTTGGCTTTTGGCAGAAATCCTTCCAGACTTAATTAGTAAAATATCAGAAATCCAAAATCGTATGGTCTTCATAACCAGCAATAGAAAACAAATTATTTCATGATGCCTTTTCAGCAGGTTTGATTGTTGGGGAAAAAATTCCAAATAATAATGGTGCATCTTTTGTCGAAATAATGAATGTAATCAAAGTAGAGAGAGAGTTAAGTGGAAATCATCTGCCGCACAGGCACAGGGAGGGGTGACATGGGGAGTATATGGGGGTTCTTGGTGGTGGAAAATATGCACTGGTGAAGGGATGGGTGTTTGATCATTGTATGACCGAGACCTGCTGTACTTCCGGCCCTGAGACAGTCAGAAAATCTGAAAGCAAACTCAAGTGACAAAGTAAGATTTCTCACCTACGTATTCACTCAGGGCCTGAATAACATTTGTTGCAGCAGTATAGATGCCTGGGTTCTTGGAATTCAGGTTGTTATCTACAATTGCTGGAATCAACATGTTGATTATGGGAGATAAGTTGTCTTTAAGCAAAGGAATCATTTTGTGCATTGTTTCTAGAGCCACCAAATTTACTTTACTATTGGAATCATGAAGTCGAGATTTGAAAGCATCAAAGATCTAAAAGTAAATTGGCAAATAATTTAAATGTAAATAATCTGTTAAGCAATGATACCTTTTGACATTCCTATAAAATGAGTAATATGCTTATTAACAGTATTTTCCTTTAACATACTATTTAAACACAGGCAAAGACATCAACATACAATTTACTTAACTTAAACATACACCATGGAAACATTATTAAAAAAGTTAGATGCTAAATCTAAGAGAAAGCTTTAAAAATCACCAAAATGAATTAAAATTGAGAAATCTGGCTCAATAGAAAATGACTGATTTCCTGTAAATGTAATAAAAATGCTGTTTTCAGGAAGATGGAAGTTAGATTGGCTAACCTAAAAACCTAAATGTTTGTACTGCTATTCATAGCAGATAGAGACATAAAATTTTACATTAGAGACTTGACCTAGTTCCAGTTTAGATTTCCTTGTTTCTTTTCTATTTGGGTCTACACTTAGCAGTGGGGCCACTCTTGGTAGTGCTCAGGTTCCATTCAATGCAGGGGATCCAACCTGGGCCTCCTGCACATGAAAACTATGTGCAGCAGACAACTGAATATCTTTGCAGCCCCTAGTGAGTTTTTTCTCTTCTTTTGGGGGAGTGTTTGCTGGGGGATCTGGGTCACACCTGGGATGTTTGGGGGCTGCTTGTGGTAATGCTCAAAGTACCACGTGGTGCAAATATTTAAACACTGCACAATTTGAACATGCAATATTCAAAGCATGCAGTTAATTGAGCTATCTCTCTAGACCCCGTTTAGATTTCTTAGAGGTTGGGCAGAGGGAGGGTGGCGGGGTAGTCAGAAAGATTGGGTGTTTGGGCCACAACCTATCATTCCCAGTAGTACTTGAAGGATCATATATGATACTGGAGATTTAACAGTATTGTTTCTAGAGCCACCAAATTTACTTTACTATTGGAATCATGAAGTCAAGATTTGAAAGCATCAATGCTTGCTCTGTACTGTCTCTGTCTTTCTCACTCTCATGTTTCAATTTGAGACTTAGGAGGGTTTTTATTGTGGGGGGGGGGGAAGGGAAGTGGGGGGCGATATCTGGTGATGCTCAGGGGTCACTCCTGGCTCAGCATTAAGGAATTACTCCTATTGGTGTCCCAGGGACTATATGGGATGTTAAGGACTGAGTTGGGTTGGCTGTGTGCAATTCAAGTGTCTTGCTGTACTGTCTCTCAAGCCCCTAGATTTATGAGACTTTAGATTCAATTTAGAATTAAATTTTCTTAATTCTTAACTGATCACTGTAACAATTATTCCTTACTTTCCACAATTCTTTTTTATTTTTTTGTTTGGGGTGTACTCCTGGCTCTATGCTCAGGAATTAACTCCTGCTGGTGCTTGGGGGACCAGACGTGGTGCCAGGGATCAAAAATGAGTCAACCATGTGAAAGGCAAACGTTTACCCACTATACTATTGCTCTGGCCCCAGAACGCTTAACTATTATACATTCAATATATAATAAATGATAAGCAATTTGTTAGTCAGATAAAATGAGCAAAGAATTATTCTGTAAAGTTCAGACCGTTGAAACTCTTTATAACAATTCTGTGTCTGCATAGATTTATACATAAAATATATATACTTCCAAATACCACATAAATATGTGTGTATATATGTGTGTATATATGCATATATATATCAGTAAGTTATTCATATATTATATATATTCCCTCCCACTCTCATTAAGAAGGGTCTTGCCAGACTGGGGAGACAGAGCAATTTTATACATTATTATATACCTCAAATGAGTATTAATTTTGATGCATCCTTACCTTCACAATATTTCCAATAACAAGGTCTTGATTGTTTTCAGTATCTGATAAAAGTTGCTTAATCCCATTAATACGATCTCGAAAATCTTTTGCATTTAATAAACCTGTTATGACTTTAATGTACTCAGCACTTTCTAAGGCATTACGGGGGACTGATTTTCTGGTGACTTCCCGATATTCAGTTACCTCTCTAAATTCAAAGAAAGATAAACTTAATTTCATGTTAATTTCTATAAAAACATACAGAGAATTATCAATATACATTCATTTCCACAAAGATACCAAATAACCTGGTCTACAGTCATAATATCTATGATATTGAAACAGTGAAGTGAAAGAGTGGAATGCCAAGTGGAATGCCAGGTAAACTAGTTATTTAAGTAGACATTTTAATTCTTGCCATGAAGGTATATGAGACTAATACCCAAGGACAATAGAAACAAGGGTCAGGAGAATTGGCCCATGGTTAAAAGCCTGCCTCAAGTGCTAAGGGAGAAGGCAGCGGGATACAGAAGGGACCATTATGACAAAGATAGTTGGAAATGATCACTCTGGATAAGAACTGCATGCTAAAAGTAGGTGAAGGAACAAACAGGATAACTTCTGAGTATCTGTACTACAAACTTTAATGCTCAAATTGGGAAATTGGGGAAGGAGGGATGGAGGGAAGGAGGGGAGAGGGAGAGAGAGAGAGAGAGAGAGAGAGAGAGAGAGAGAGACTGCCATCGATACAGGCTGGGGAAGGAAGGGTTACAGGAGGGAAAGTGACACTGGCCCCTGGTGGTAGGAAATGCACACTGGTGACTGATGGAAGGATGGGTGTTAGAACACTATATAACTGAAACCCAACTATGAACAGCTTTGTAACTGTGTATTGCATGGTGATTCAATTAAAATAAAATAATAGTTCATATAATAGTTCAAAAATTGTGGAAGACTAAATTCAGTAACTTCATTCTGATTTTTCTTATAAAAATTTGTGGCTTTTCCAAACCTCTGCTTATACCATGAACAGACATGATTTTGTTAAACTATAATTAAGTATGTGCTGGAGCGATAGCACAGCGAGTAGGGCATTTGCCTTGCATGCAGCTGACCTGGGTTCAATTTCTCCACCCCTCTCGGAGAGCCCAGCAAGTTACCGAGAGAGTATCTCACCTGCACGGCAAAGCCTGGCAAGCTACCCGTGACATATTCAATATGCCAAAAACAGTAACAACAAGTCTCACAATTTGTTGTGAGACATTACCGGTGCCCACTTGAACAAATTGATGAATAATGGGAGGACAGTGCAATAGTTCATATAAAAACATAAAAATAAAATAGATAATAGATGGCTGGTGGTGGAAGATAGGAGACCAAAGGAAGCCCCCAGCCAGGCAACCCTCTCTTTGTTCCAATGCTCAGAGAGATGGCAAAACAGCAGGGATCTCACTTACACAAATGGGGGTAGACATTAAGGAAAGCCGAGGAGACAAGGAGCCACTGGGAGTACAACTCGAGAGGCTCAGGTTAGAGAGCAGCATACCCTAGTAAGGGGACATAGGTGATAAGTCTCCAGTTACAGATTCCAAATGAAGAACACATACACTGAATACAAAATGGTATAGAGACAAAACTGTGCCATTGCACACTGGAGGTGAGCAGGGGGCTAGGGACAGGACCTAGGACATGGATAAGAGAGGCCCAGACAATGGGGAAGAATACAGACCGGCCTACTTAAATTGCATACAAAGCATATGCTCAGCTACTGAACTATACCATACTTCACCTACTGAAATATACCATATTTCCAAAAATACATAGATTCAATCTGTCTGAGAAAATAGCTGATTAACCCAAACTGAGAAAAAGCTACAATATAGTTGCGAAAAAAATTATTTTGAAAGACTGGCACATGGTATATGCTCAATAAATGCTAAACAGGCATTTGGGGGGGCCTGGGGGGAGTCAGTGTCAAAAATAAACTATTTTGAATAAATATCTGACCCACGATCTTGTTTATATGGAAGTATAGCAGATTTTGATTTCTAGGGCCTAGGAGTATACAAGATTTCTCATTCCTTTGTTTTTGTTTTGTTTTCTGGTGCTGAAGATTGAAAATTAAACCTATGAGATCCTCCCAAATGCAAGGCAAGTGTTTTACCATTTATCTCTAATGACATTTTTTCATTTCTTTTATTTGGAATGAGGAAGGATGAACTTGTCCCCCACGCTCACCCTCACCCCGTTTAAAAAAAAAATCTTTATGTGTAGGTACACACACACACACACACACACTTTTTTTTGTTTGCTTTCAGGGGGTATTGGGGTTAAACCCAGTGATGTTTAGGCATTACTACTGGCTCTGCACTCAGGAATTACTCTTGACGGTGCTCAGGGGACCATATGGAATGCCAGGGACAGAACCAGGGTCAGACACATGCAAGGCAAGCACCCTACTGTCTCCACTGCCATTTCTTGTTGATGCTGGATCACACCCACCAGAGCTCAGACCTTATTCCTAACTCTCTATTTGGGGATCAATCCTGGAGGGTAAAGAAAATGCCCAACTCACTATTAGGCTTTATTTATTTTTCTCTCTTTTTTTTTTCTTTTTCGCTTTTTTGTTGTTTTTTGTTTTGGGACTATACCTGACAGTGGCCAGGGCTTTCTTTACTTCTGGCAGTACAGTGCTGGGCGTTAATGCAGTGTTTGGGTCAGGTGCACGCAAGGCAAACACCCTACCCACTGTACTATCTCTCTGGCCCCTGCAGTACCTTTTTTTTTTTTAAATTCTTCACCAAGAATTACAGTAAGTGATTAGTTCAATAATTCAAATGTCTTATTTAAGAAAAAAAAAATTGGGGGGGGCGGGGGAGTTAGGGTGGCAGAGACAGTTTGTCCCTCTGCCACATGGAAGCATAGACAGTTTGTCCCTTCCAGTCTCCCTGCCCCTTCGGGATCCTGGCTGTCATGCCCACAAACTGCTTCCAGGCCATATTTAAGTGCCCCACTGGCCCTGATCCAGAGACTTACAAATAAATCTCAAAATGGATCAGTTCCCTACTGAGATGTCTCTGACCCCAATCATTTACACACTTAGAATTCCAGGAGTGTGCATGACCTCTCATGACATTCATAATAAGCAACAGAAAATAAATTATTTAGAATGTGTGGCAGGCAGGCTTGAATGGTGGTAGAAAAATGTGAAATAATGATGATGGGAAGGTATAATAGTGGTAGAATTGATGTTGATATATTGAATGTAATCGATTAATGTGAACAACCTTATGAAAATAAAATTTTAAAATAATAACAAAACAAAACAAAAAACCAACTTTTAAAAGTCCAATAAATAAAATGGGTTGGAAAGATAGTACAATGGTTATGGTGACTGTCTAGCAGGCCCCACATGGTCCTCCGAGCACCACTGAGAACAACCTGGTGGGATTTTTAGGTGTGTTTGAAATCTGGCCCTCAATCCAAAAAAAGAGATACATTTAAAAAATAGGGCAGGTGGGGCTGGCATGATAGCACAGCGAGGAGGGCGTTTGCCTTGCACGCGGCCGACCCGGGTTTGATTCCCAGCATCCCATATAGTTCCCCAAGCACTGTCAGGAGTAATTCCTGAGTGCATGAGCCAGGAGTAACCCCTGTGCAACGCCAGGTATGACCCAAAAAGCAAAAAAAAGGAAAAAAAATAGGGCAGGAGAGTTAGTTCAGTAGGCAAGGCACTGGTATTGCATGTGGCCAAACCTGGTTCAATCAACAGCACCTGAGCACTAGGAACAATGATCCCAGGGTATAGTCCAAAAATCCTTCCCAAATAAATATATAAAAATTAAATTCTGGGGCCACAGATATAGTAGGGGATTAAGGAGATTGCCTTGCATGCAGCAGACCCTGGTTTGATACCTAACAGCATAAAGTCCTCCAATCATCACCTAGTGTCATCCTGGAGGTCCCCAAATACCACTAGATGTGATCACCGTGCACCCTGGAATAATTTTCAGCACCACAGGACTCTCATAGCACTGAACCTTTGGGATCTCACACTGAACTGCAGGTCCAAGAATTGCCAGAAGAGGCACTCTGAACACAGCTTGGGAGACATAACCCAATAAGTAAACAAACAAACAGAGTCCATTAAATTCTGAAAATTACTCCTGGGATAGTTTATAAAAGTATGCAAATGAGACTATTATCTCTAGGAAGTAATCTAATGATTTAAATAATAAACTTTAAATAATCCTACCTTTCACCTGAACTGAAAGCATCTCTAGAAACAGATGATGATTTTGTACTTCCAACACAGCCAGTATGAGATCTTCTTCCTTTTGCCGAAGGAGTATCTAGGAGTATCTCCCCCAAACCCTATAAGTAAATATAATGAAAGTCAGTATAAAAAATAATAGCACTAGTCAAGAGAAATAAACTACATAAACTAATTTTCATAGCAGCCATTTTTATAGGTCTGAAAACATTTTAATAGTCTACACAGAAAAGTTATATTAAGGGCTGGAGCAACAGCACAGTGGGTAGGGCATTTGCCTTGCACGTGGCCAACCTGGGTTTGATTCCTCTTGTCCCTCTCGGAGAGGCCGGCAAGCTACCGAGAGTATCCCACCCGCACGGCAGAGCCTGAAAGGTTCCCGTGGCGTATTTGATATGCCAAAAACAGTAACAAGTCTCACAGTGGAGTCATTAATGGTGCCCACTAGAGCAAATCAATGAACACCGGGACGACAGTGCTACAGTGCTACAGTAAGTATATATAAATTGCAGATGTATAAAATACTTTGTAAATCAGGAGTTAGCACTGTTAGCACTGTCCTCCTGTTGTTCATCAATTTGCTCGAGTGGGCCCAGCAACGTCTCCATTGTTTGACTTGTTGTTACTGTGTTTGGCATTTCGAATACATCAAGGGTAGCTTGCCAGGCTTTGCTGTGTGGGTGAAAAACTCTTGGTAGCTTGCCAGGCTCTCGGAGAGGGGTAGAGGAATCGAACCCAGCTCGGCCAGGCCAGCAGCTTGCAAGGCAAACACACTACTGCTGTGCTATTAATCAAATATGATATCAACTAGTAGAAAACTATGTGGGATTGGATAACTGTTCAATTTGGGGCAGGAGCAATAATACAGTGGTTAGGGAGCTTGCCTTGCATACAGCCATCCTGTTTTCGATCCCCAAGATTCCATATGGTTCCCAAGTCCCACCAGAAGTGATTCCTGAATGCAGAACCAAAAGTTCTGAGCACCACAAAGTGTGACCCAAAAACAAAACAAACTCCCCCCAAAAAAATCTCACAAAAATAAAACCAATCCCCCTACAAACCAAACTGCTCACAATTTTTTTTTTGTTGTTACAGGGGATTCAACCAAGAACATCATACATATAAGGTATGAGCTTCATCACTGGGCTATATGACCCCAGCCATAAAATCTTTTAAAATATACTATCTTATATATTGCTAATCTGTTATATATAATATATATGCAATATATATGTTGTATATATTATATTACATTTTGGTTTTTATATATACATTATATCTTGATTTTTTTTTTTGCTTTTGAGTCACATCGGATGGTACTAAAAGCTTATTTCTAGTTCTCTGTGCTCAGGGATAACTCCTAGTGAGGTTCAGGTCATCATATGAGGTGCTAGGGATCAAATTCAGGTCAGCCATCTACAAGGCAAATACCATATCCACCATACTCTCTCCAGTCCCTAACAGGCATTTTAACTATTTATAAACTAAATTAAAATCTTTAAGATCAATGGTTAAAAAAGAGTGCTCTAAAGTGTATATCACTGTAGATCTTTGAAATCATTATGCTTTCATAAATTAATCACTGAAAATCACTATGCTTTCATAAATTAATCTCAACCTAAAGTTATCAAAGAAAAATGGCTTAAATTACTACAGATTAACTCCATGGTAATAAAAATAAGTTTTGCAAAAATAAAGCATGCAAACAGAGCATATATTTATGAATCCTTTTTTTTTTTTTTGGAGGAGGGGGTAAACCACATCAAGTTGTGCTAAAAATTTACTCCTGGCTCTGCACACAGGGATCACTCCTGACAGGGCTCAGGAGGTCATATGGGATTGAACTTGGGTGGGCTCTGTGCAAAGCAGGTGCCCTACTCACTGTACTATTGCTTGTAACTTCTAAAATTTCCATTACAATGTACCAAGTTTCAAGCCTCCATTTGAGTTTTTTGCAGGGGGAGGAGGGCTGAAGCGATAGCACAGCAGTAGGGCGTTTGCCTTGCTTGCAGCTGGCCCAGTTGAACCGGGTTCGATTCCTCTGCCCCTCTTGGAGAGCCTGGCAAGCTACTGAGAGTATTTCGCCCGCACAGCAAAGCCTGGCAAGCTACCCATGATGTATTCAATATGCCAAACACAGTAACAACAAGTCTCACCATGGAGACGTTACTGGGCCTGCTCGAGCAAATTGATGAACAACAGGAGAACAGTACTAAAAAGTGCTAAACAGTGCAGGGGGAGGGCAGGAGCAGGGAAAGGTGAGAGCAGGTCACACCTGGTTGTGCTCAGGGCTCACTCCAGGCAGTTCTCAGGATACTTAAAGACTCTATGTAGTGCTGAGGGAATTTGTGTGTGTATGTGTATGTGTGCGTAATCTATAATGCATTTTAACAACTGCAGTACTAAGTAGATAATGTCAAAAAATTTTTATTAAACAAAAGCTTGAGGGCCAGAAAAGACAGTACAGGAGTTAAGGCACTTGCCTTGCAATTGTCTCACTCTGATTTAATTATATCTATATCTATGTAATTAATTGAACATATGTATTCAAATTATATTCTAGAGTATTATCAGAGTAATAAAGAGTATAATTCCTATTCTTCACCTGGACCAATAATCTTTGTTTTGAAATCTGTTTATAAAATAAATGTTTCCAGGGCTGGAACATAACTCAAAGGGCTAGTATACATGTCTGGCACGTATGAAGCCCTAAGTTCTGTGTCCAGCATGATCTGGTCTTTCAAACACCATAGAATTAGGTCCTGGCAAGGTTCACTCCATGGCTTGAAGGCCAGCCACACATGCTAGGGGATAAGGTAGCTCAGATAGAGAAGGGAACACCAAGTAAAGGTTGTTGGGAATATCCTTCCAGGATGGGAGATGCATGCTGAAAGTAGACTATAGACTGAACATGATTGCCACTCAATGCCTCTTTTGCAAACCTCAGCACCCAAAAGGAGAGAGAGAACAAAAGGGATTGCCCTGCCACAAAGGCGGGGTGGGGTGGGGGGGATGGGGTGGGAGGGTGGGAAGGCTACTGAGATCACTGGTGTTAGAGAATGGGCACTGACAAAGGGATTGGTACTCAATCATTGTATAACTGAAACCCAAGCACAAAAACTTGTAAGTCTACAACTGTACCTCATGGTGTTTCACTAATAAAAATTAAAAAAAAAAATTTAGTCCTGGTGGCTCCATGATCCCTCAGCCTTAGCAGCATGGAATCATCACTCCTGCTAAACCAAGTTACTACTGTGTCCGTTAATACTGATGAGGAGCCACACAATATAGAAAACAAATTTAAATATATAAAATGAATATTTCCACAAACCTTTTGCCGCAAGTTTTTAACAGAGTCCTTAATGTAGGGTAAATCTTTAGATGGGATGTACTTTTCAAGCATTTTATCAAAATTAGGATGACCCATCATGAGGAAAAGCATCTTTCGACCATAATACCTATGAATAGTTAACAAGTATGTAAGCAAAATACACATCTTATAAGTTTATTTCCATCTTCTTCCTTTTTTTCAATTACAAAAATCAACATCGAGATTATCATCACTATTTTAATTCACTAAACTACGTACAAGAATTGAACAAGGGATTACAGATTCTCCTGTCTATCCTTTTGCACCCAGAAATAAAAAATATAGCCTCAAATCTTTTTGCTTTGTGTCAAATGGAGAGCTAAGACTTTTGGCTCTATTTTCAGGTACATCAGAGATTAAATAAGACTGAAATATGGCAGAACTGTGAGTTAAAAGTTTGTCTTTGGGCTGGGCACCTTGTTCAGAGACATTTTGCAGTTCATTAGTATGCCAGACATGGAGTTTGAGTCAAACTTTCCTAGATTCTGTATTTCTGAGTTTCTATTTTTCCTAGCCCAAACTTACCTGTATTTCAAGTCTTCAACAAGCTGTTTTCTGCTATCCAAAATGCATCTAAATTTAGTTGCATTGTTTCATATATTCCAGGTTACAAATATATAACTTCTTCCAAATTAGGTCTTTTATATGTTACATGAATTTAAAAATAATTACTTTAATAGCATTTTTTCCACACCTAGTGATGCTCAGGGCTTATTACTGGCTCTGTATTCAGGAAATATTCCTGGTGGTGTTCTGGGGACCATATGGGATTTCAAGGGTCAAAGCCAGGTGGGCCTTGAGCAAGGCAAACACCCTACCTGCTGTACTACCACTCTGGACCCTTAGAACAGTATCTTAAGTCAAGTAAATACATAATGAAAGTATTTTTGGATAGAGGGTCCTTATAATACCCCATAATACCATATTATTTTTTAAAAAGATTGACCCCCAAAATAAAATATTTGTTTTCTTTTTCTTAAATTAGTTATACTTAAGTCAAAACTTAAAAATTTAGGATTTGGAACGTGTAGGACTTGAAGAACCAACAAATCGCAGATTTTCTTTACCATTTCCAGCAGTGCTTAAAGGTAACTCCCAGCTAGGACCTAAGAACTAACTCCCAGAGGTACCTGGGGACCACATGGTAGCAAGGTTCAAACCAGGGCCTCTTGCATGCAAAATATACACTTCACTCCTTTGAGCTCTAAAGGCTCCAACAAATCTAAATTTTGATTCTGTAGGTCTATCATGGGTCTTAGTGGCACGAGTATGGGTCAAATAAGTAAACAATAAAGGTACAAAATGCAAATTGATAAAATGGAAAATTAGCATTCATTTCATAATTTTAATTAAAACTTGTATTCGATCAACGGGAGGGCCTTTACCTTACCTTATTATTGCTAGAGCAATAGTACAATGGGTAGGCTGGTTGCCTTGCATGTAGCCAATCTATGGTCCCCTGAGCACTTCCAGGAGTAATTCTTGAGTGTAAAGCCAGAAGTTACCCCCTGAGCACTGCTGGCTGTGACTCCCAAAGTCAAAATACACTAACAAACAAAAAAGTTTTGGCAGTGGTAGAGGTCAAACTCAAGGCTTCACACATGTAAGGCAAATCCTCTACCCAAAGAATTACATCTCCAGTCCCACTTTTAATATTCCAATATTAAAACTTTAAATCAATATCTCAAGAAATGACAAAGATGAGAAGAAATACTCTGTTATTAAGGAAAGTTTAAGATGTATATGAAACTACCATTTCAAATTGATTTTTTCTAAATAGTCTATTATAACCCAGTCCTTGTAAATTGTTTTGAACTTTACTGCAATATGCAGAACCTCCCAAATGGTTCCCCAAAGAAGTTATTCAGATCCCTAAAATCTGTGACCATAAAGAGATATAAATCAAGGATTATGCTTCATGGGCCAACATTTGTGCAGCTTCAAAACAGGAAAATATTCTAGGTAGATTTAATCTAATTACACAGGTTCTTAAAAGCAAAGGGCTCTGGGGGGAGTAGCAAAAGAACTCATAGAGATTCTAAGAGGATATATTATTGATAACTTGAAGATCGGGGGGGCTGTGTAAGAATTTGAGTATATGTAAGAAGTTGACAGAGCTCTAGTTAAGAGCCAAAATGGAATGCGAATACTTGTACCATAATCACAAGATACTGAATTTGCCTAATAATTTGAGAAAGTTTTAAAGCAAATTATTCTAAAGACTTAGATATAAAAGATAGAGTCCTCCATAGGTCTGAGGATGCAGATCAAAGGGAGAGCACATGCTTTAAATGTCTGAGGCTCTGGGTTTAATCCTAAATCCCACCTCATCTACCACCCAATAATGGAACCTGAATTGTCATTGCCTTGATTCCAGCTTTGCCAAAGCCTCATGAGAAGAACCTAAGCAGAGGCAGACACTTGCCACTCTATTCCACTTTTGTATGTGGAGGAAGACAGAGCCGGGTTACACACATTCCAGCTTTGTATAGTCCCATGAAAAACAAGCCGTCGCCTTCTCCAGATGGAACCCCGGTGACCATGAATCTCTACAAGCACAGCTCAGGAACGAGGGAACCAGGACATTTCCTCCAAACTGCAATGGGGCCTGCCCGGCTCCCATGCAACCTCTGGTTCCAGAAGTCATGCCCACAGCCCGCCACCCAGCGCCATCTTTACAGCACACAGCAACAAAGAACACCGCTGGAGAGCACCACAGCTCCTGGAGAATGCTCCAGGTCCCAAACAGAGCTGATCTCACCGGGAGGTCCCAGATGGGGTAGGTGCTGCATCCCGCCTTCTCTTGGTGGAACCCCAGTGACCATGAGTCTCTATAAGCATAGCTCGGGCATGCAGGAACCAGGACATTTATTCCAAACCCCGCGGCCACATAAGCGGCTGCGCGACATCTCCTTATATATACAAAGTGATCAATGGAAAGTAAATCATCCAACATTTCTCCCTGAAAATCAGGCTTAACTCTTTTGCAAATCACAACACTCAAAAGAAGAGAGAGAACAGAGGGGAATGCCCTGCCACAGAGGTAGGGTGGGATGGGGGGGGATGGGGGGAGGGAGGGATACTGGGATCCGTGGTGGTCGGAAATGGGCACTGGTGGACGGATGGGTATTCGAAATAAAAAAATTAATTAATTAATAAATAAATAAATAAATAAAACCTTAAAAAAAAAAAAGCCCTGACCCCCTGCCAAACTTTTAGGCTAAATAATCAAAAGCTAAAAACACACATAATTTTACGGCACTATATTTGTGAAAATTTATTGACACAGCCATAGAAAGCCAATACAGTTATTTTTTGTTTTGTCTAGGGGCCACACCTTATGGGATATCAGGAATCAACTGGGTTGGTCTTGTGCAAAGCGAGTGTCCTACCTGCTATACCCTGCCCCATACATTTATTCTATGTCAGTTTGGGTACAATGATTTCCACAAATTAACTCCAGTCACCTAAAGTAATAAACATCTATCCTTTAAAATATTAATAACTTGATATCTTTCTTCAGTCCTATGAACTCAGGATCCTCCCTCTTTCAACTACCTCTTGTAATCTATCTTTATAAAGAACAACTAAAAATGCTTAGATTTTGTATGAAACATTATCAATAACATAGACCAATATTACAGATTTTACAAATGTGGAAACGGGGACAAATAGGTCAAATAACTTCCTTACAGACCAGCAATGACAGAACCTAAGGATTGAAATTAGATTTCTGACAACTTCCAAAATTCCAGTTACCACTACAGCTAGTATAATATCCAAATCTCAAATTACACGTCTTATTTTTCTGATTATTTTGGGGGGCAGGTGGAGCAGATGGGTCATACCTAGTGATGCTCATGGGATAGTCCTGGCTCTGTGATCAGGAGCGAATCCTGCTGATATTCAGGGGACCATATACGGTACCAGGGATTAGAATTGAAGTTAGAGGGGCATAAGCAACTTAATATCCCTGGTCCCTCTCTGACTGTTCCCAACCCTCTGAAATTGCTCTTTGAGTACAGCAATCCAAAATTCAGACTAGTTTTATTATTTCTCTTATTTTGGGTTTTTGTTTTTTATTTTGCCACAACTAATTGTGTTTAGGAAACCATGTGGAGTTGGAGATCAAGTCCCAGCCCTCAGGCTATGTCTCTGGCTCAGAGATACAAAAAATTTTCTAAGTGCATATATGTCACATTTCAAGGATTATGTGCTATCCATTTTGTTTTTTCATGTTTTTCTATCTCCTTGATAATATTTGATTTGGAAAATATATAATTTTCCTCTAAACGCATTACCTTACATTTGCCCACAATGAAGTTCTTCTGCCACTTTTCTGCCCACTCATAGTCGTGTGCCGTTTTCATGCAGTTCATCCCTGTGACATGGCATCTCACTACCCAGAAGTATGTAGTGTCATCTGTAAATTTGGAGAATTCACTGTGCACTCCCTCAAGATCATTTGCAATTGGTTAAAAAAGACTATCCCCCAGCATCAATTCCTGAGAACCCAGGTGTCCATTTTAGAAAAACATTTATTCTTAAGTTCTTTAATTACTTTAAGCCCTTAAATGACAGACTCTGCAAATACCATTAGCTGTTACTTACCTGGTTTCTTGCGAACTGTCCTGAGCAAACTTAGCAGCTGCTGGTAATATACGATCGGCCATATCCTTTGTTCCAGATAAAATACGCTCTGGTTCCATAAATTCCACTACATCTGATAAGTGCTGGGCAGTACATCTTCTTACTGCAATGTGTAAATGACTATAAAAGAAAAAAAAAGTCAATGAAAATCCTGTTGCTATGTAATCCATTCAATAAAAAAAACACTTTCAGAATTAAATAATTATTCCACTCCTAGCATTCAACAATCATCCATGAGGGTTAAATGAAAATTTATTTTCATTAGCTATCCATCCCTAGAAGTTCAAAACAAAAAGTTCATAATCAATGATAAACACTTAGTTCCAGAATTATGAATGAGAATTTTAAGAAAAACATCCAATGTGTTAGCATACAATGTTTATTACAGAGTGATAATTTTAAAATTTTTTGGCAGAAATTACGTTGAAATTTGCTTGTTCTTTCCTATACCCAAAATGAAGTTTAAAGGCATGTTAGGAATTAATACCTTTGTCCTCCATTAATAAGAGAAACAACTGCGCGTGCAGGAGTGACATTATTGACCATAGCTCTCAAAGCTTTGTCAACATCTTCTCTTATAAATGTATTTGACTCTCCAGCCTTGTGCAACAAAACTTTCACTGTAGTATCTAGTTCTTGATCCATGCTCTTTTTCAGGTAAGTGAAAAGATCACTTAAACAGACCACAGCAGCACGTGAAACTCCAGAGCGTAAATTTTTCACCTAAAAAAAATTTCCAAAATGTATATTTTGCTGATATTCTGAAAGAAAATCAGTAATAATGACCTTGAAACCAAATTTATCATTAAAGCAGTATGTCCTAATATCTAATGCCCTAAAAGAAAACATGTATTATCATTTAACTAAACATAAGTCTGCTCACATCATCATGGGGAGGCGGGGGGAAGAGGGGAGAGTTTGGACCATACCAATCAGTGCTCAGGGCCATGTGATGCTAGGGATCAAATGAGGTTGGTCACATTTAAGGTAAGCATCTTAGCCCATATTATGTATTTTTTCATACTATTTTAATGCTAAATAAATGTGTTAGGGGCCAGAGAAATAGGAGATAGTATAGGGTATTTTCCTTGAAATCAGCTAAACCAAGTTTGGTTTCTGAAACCATATATAGTCCCCAGAACCCCACACAGTGCCAGAAGTAAGCCCTGAGCATTGTCAGGTATGACTTCATCAAGTAAATAAATAAATAAATGTGGTATACTGTTATTCAAACAATCCTTCACTTAGCTTAAAAATAAGTTTACCTCTTGAACTACTGCAAAACTTGTTTCATGCAACTTTGTGTTCAATATTTCAGAATGAAAAGCAGCTAAGCATCTGATAAAATTCAGCCCCTCAATTTTTTTCTCCCTGTAGAAAAAATAGACAAATGACAAAATCACTTATTAAAGATGTTTTTATTTATATTTTTAGATTACCCATTAAATTCTGCCTATTTTCCCTTGCTACTTAAGAATCTCAAATAAAAAATATGTCAAATTTTATTTGCTCCAATAGTTCTCTTTTATGATCTGAAATACCTTGTTTGTTTTTGTTTTGGGGCAACACCTAACAAATCCTGGCTCTGCATTTGGGAATACTCCTGGTGCTCCTCAGGGGACCATGTCGGAAGCCATGGATAGAACTCAGGTCAGCAGTGTGACAGGGAAGCACCCTACCCACTTTACTATCCTCTGGCCCATCAGAATATCTATTGAAGAGTCATACCGATACTAAGAAACTTGGTTCATTCATTGTAAATAAAAAAGGAGACTATGTTCCTGAGTAAGAATTTGCTCCCTGTCCTACTCAGAGAAGGGACATGAATGGTACACAGAACAAGAGAAAGTAGTGAAACAAAAACCGAAAGAAAAATGGCCTATTAGCTTATGGGTGAATATGTAATCCAAGGGTAGAAAAACAACAGATGCTTTTGAATTTGTATTTCTTTTTGACTCTGTGGTCTAATGAAACAGATGGAAGTTACATAGACATTAACAAGAAGTGGATTTTAGGGGCTGGATCAATAGTACAGTGGGTGGGGCGTTTGCCTTGCATGTGGCCAACTCAGGTTCCATCCCTGGTATCACATATGGTCCCCCGAGCACCACCAGAAGTAATTACTGAGTACAGAGCCAGTAGTAAACACTGAGCATTGCTAGGTGTGATCCCATAAGAAAAAAAAAAGTGCGGGGGGACCGTTGATTTTTAGATGTAACATTTTCAATGTGTTGATTTTAAAATGTGAGCTAAAACAAGTTTCCTTATCGATACATTGTTATTTACATTTTTAAAAAATTTAAATTCACTGAATACAAAAAAAATAGAAAAGACCATGGTCACAGGAGTAAGCTAAGGTTCACAGTAAGGAAGTATTAAGTGGCGAAAGGTAACTGGAAATTCACAGAACTCAATCTGGATCACTGAGTTTGGTGAATGGAAGGGGCCTCTGAGATGGTAGAGGGAAGTGGCCTGTATGCTGGTGGCCAATATGCTGTTGGAATCATGCATGCATGAAACCATCACTAACAGTACTATAAATAACATTATCTCAAGAAAAGATTTGTTTTTTAATGACTAACCCAAGGTAACAAAAGAAAATTCTGAATTTTTTTATTTCAAAAATTCATCTTTTGTAAGTTTAAACAAACAACTTACAGGTTAGATGCAGAAACAACTAATTTGCATTTATACACAAAAGTAAACAACAGAGAGTAGATTTCAGAAAATAGACTTAAAAGAGAAAAAGAAATTAAAAAGTGGCTGAAGGATTTTTACCCGAATTTTGTCAAAACTATATATTCTAAGGCTTAAGAACAGATCTCGTACAGATTAGCTTTCAGGGCAGGAAAGACAGCACAGGGGATAAAGTGCTTACCTTGCTTATAGCTGACCCTGATTCAATCTCTGGTGTAGCATGGTTCCCAGAGCACTGCCCGGAGTGACCCCTATACACAGAGCCAGGAGTAGCCCTGAATACCACTGGGGATGGAGTACAACTCAAAAAACTTTAAGTAAAAACTTAAAAACTGCAACATTTGTTTTGTGTGTATAAGATCGTGCATTCAGTCCATAGCACCAAAATAGAAAGCCAAAATAAAATATGGAGCAGAGCCAGGTATGGCCCCAAAACCAAGATAAACAAAATAAAAAAATTTTTAATTTGGCAGGGCCGGGGAGAATAGGGGAACACACTAAGGGGGTGTTCAGGGGCTATTCCTGGCTCTATACTCAGGAGTGACCCTTGGCAGTACTTGGGTCACTGTATAAATTGCTGGGAATACAATCCTGGTTGGATGCATGCAAGGCAAGAGCCTTACCCTCTGTACTATATTTCCAATCCTTAAAGCCACCATTTAAAAGTTAATTTTAATAGAAAATGTTTCAAGAATTTTTTGTGTGAGCTCAGAGACTGAATCCAGAACTTTATACATCCAAGGCAAGTGATCTCTACCACTGATCTTTATCACTGAGCCTGTGTCAAGCTTTAAGTAAAAATTTTACAGAAAATATTTGACAGTAATTTTTTTTTTGGTGGTGCCAGAAGGTATATACTTTACCACTGAGCCACATCCTTGGCCCCAAGAGAAAACTTTTGGAACTTAGTTGTAAAATAAGGATGAGATACTTACCAATCATCATCAGATAAGAGCCTTAGGGCTTCTATCAGTGCTATTTCTGGTTTGGAAAATGGCCGCAGTTCTGATGAATCCATTATTTCTGGACTGTGAGTGACTGAAGGCACCCTTTCTTTATATTGTGCAATGGTTCCAGGAGATGTATCAACTAAAGAAAAAATAAACATTAAATAAAATTTCAGAATTTGAGGCCAGAAAAAAATTTCAATAGGTTGAAGTACAAGCTTTATAAGCAGGGGGCCAAGGTTTGGAAAATGAAGTACAGAACTATCAATACTAGTGTGTACTTGCTATTGGATTCCACAGTTTATTTCTTAGTAATAATTATCAATATAAATAAAAATGATAAGCTATAATCCTTAAAATTTATTATTTTTATTCAAGCATTTTTTAATTAAATCATGATGAGATACAGTTACAAAGTTTTCATGTTTGAGTTTCAGTCACATAATGATCAAACACCCATCCCTCCACCAGTGCACATTTTCCACCACCATTGTCCCCAGTATCCTGCCCCCTCCCGCCCCATCCCAATCCTTCTTCTGCCTTGGCAGACAATTTTCCCCATACTCTCTCTTTGCTTTGGGGCATTGTGGTTTGCAATACAGATAATAAGAGGCTATCATGTTTGGTCCTTTATCTACTTTCAGCACACATCTCCCATCCCAAACAATCCCTCTAACGATCATTGCCTTAATTATCCAATCTCTATTCCAGCTACCTTCTCCTCCAGCTCATAAAGCAGGCTTCCAATTATGAAGCAGTATTCCTAGCCCTTGTGTCTACTGTCCTTGGGTGTCAGTCTCATGTTATATTCATGAATTTTTAATTTCAGGCTTTGATTATTACAACTCGCATTAGCCTAAGACTCTTAGAGTGTTTTCAGTTCTTTTAAATATTTTTTTTTTCACAGTGTTAAGGATTGAATTCAGGTGTCATCCATGCTAAGCACATAATCTGCCATTGAGTCACATCTTACATTCAATATTTTAAAAAATAACACAGGAGATGAGACACAAGGCCCAGAATCTAGTAAGTCCTCAACAATAGGCTGACTAGGTGATTTGGGCATTAATTTTGTTTCTTTCTTCTTTGGAAGCCCCCCTCCCCCATGCAGTAATACTCATGTATTACTCCTAGCAGTGTACTAGCAGGTACTATATTGTACCTGGTATCTAGCCTGAGTCTTCTGCATATATAGCATATATTCTAGCCATCCATGTTATCTTTTCAATTCAGTGCAATAACATTTTTTTTTCAAAAATCACACTCTGAACAAACTTTACCAACCTCAATTACCTTCACTATAAAATGAAACATCATTTCTCAATGGAACAGGAATATTTGCAGGAAGCATGAAAAAGATATTTGAGATAACTTTAATATTTATTGAGCAGGACAGTTTAGGCCTGTATCCCACCACCAGAGAGCTGATTAAATAGTGGAACTGAAAGGAAGCTACGTCTGTCTACTGATTCCCACCATAATTTCTTTCCACATGTAAACTCTACAGGTTAACACTTATGACACTCACGGTCACGGTCCTCCCGTTGTTCATCGATTTGCTCGAGCAGGCCCAGTAACGTCTCTTTCATGAGACTTGTTGTTACTGTGTTTGGCACATTGAATATGTCACGGGTAGCTTGCCAGGCTCTGCGGTGCCAGCGAGATACTCTTGGTAGCTTCCCGGACTCTCCAAGAGGGGCGGAGGAATCGAACTCGGGCCGGCCATGTTGGCTGTGTGCAAGGCAAACGCCCTACTGCTGTGCTATCGCTCCAGCCCATTTGTGACACTCACGGTCACAGTCCTCCCATTGTTCATCGATTTGCTCGGGCAGGCCCAGTAACGTCTCCATCATGAGACTTGTTGTTACTGAGTAACAGTTGTGACACTACTCAACAATTTTTTTTTTTTTTGCTTTTTGGGTCACACCTGGCGATGCACAGGGGTTACTCCTGGCTCTGAACTCAGGAATTACTACTGTTGGTGCTCAGGGGATCACATGGGATGCTGGGAATCGAACGCAGGTCAGTCTCATGCAAGGCAAACATCCTACCTGCTGTGCTATCACTCTAGCCCCACTACTCAACATTTAAATAAGTGACTTACCTGAAACTGAAACAGTAAAAGTTCTGGCCACTCTCCCTCTTACTCTTTTTGCTAATTTATCATTCATACTGTATTATAGAATCTAACATGGATATAGCTTAACACTGTATGTATGGCAAGGACCCAACACACTGGCCACCAGATGGTGAGCGCCATCTCACCATCAAAAAGACTCTCCATTCTCCCTCCTCACCCTTAATCGGTGCCTTCTTTTAACTGGCTTTCCTTTCTTTAATTTCCTTTTTTGCGGGGAGGGCTAGGGGCAAGAACCACTCCCAGTGCATAGGGCTTACACCTTGGCCACTCTCTACGATAAAAAAATGAAGAAAATGTTTGTTTTTTCCTCATTTTTTTTTTTTTTTTGGTACACACTCAGCTGTTCTCAGGGCTTACTCCTGGTTCTGTACTCAGGGATCATTTCTGAAGGGATTGGTGGTGGATATGGGGTGTTGGGCATTGAATCAGGGTCAGGCAGGTAGCCCTGATCCCCTAAGGACAATGTCTTAAGAATTTTTTCATTTTTTAACATTTCCATCTAATCAACAAAAATATTTTGTTTCGAGAGAAAAAAATCAAATTATGAGAAAGGATTAGTATTTATTATTTTATTTTGAAGCTACTGAGTATGCAAGTTTCAAGTTTATAGTTCAACACATTCAACTATTAATGCCCAAATTAAACCACAATATTGGTTTTAGAACAGTAATAGTTAAACACACAGACACACAAGGGGAATGAGGGGAAGGGCATGGAGTGACAGTACAGCAGTTAAGAAGCAGCCGATGCAAGTTTGATGCACTCCATATCATCCTTTGAGCACTGTCAAAACAAAAAATTTTAAGAAACACTAGAAATAAATTTTACTTACTTTCCAACGACATTTTCTCAGTTACTGTGTATTTCATCCGTTCCCAAGGATTTTGTTCCTTCTTTTCACAATCTTTGTTATCAAAAAGTTCTTTTTCTTCTTTTCTCTTTTGTCTCATCTTATCATAAGTAGATTTTGAAATAGAAACTTTATTCTGCACAAAAAATAAATTAAAATATCTGATACACGGAACTGCATTTCTAAGACATTAGCGATAGCACAGCGGTAGGGCGTTTGCCTTGCGCGCAGCCAACATGGCCGACCCGAGTTCGATTCCTCCGCCCCTCTCGGAGAGCCCGGCAAGCTACCGAGAGTATCTCGCCCGCACGGCAGAGCCTGGCAAGCTCCCTGTGACGTATTCGATATGCCAAACATAGTAACAACAAAGTCTCCAATAGAGACGTTACTGGGCCCGCTCGAGCAAATTGATGATCAATGGGAGGGCCTTATTCCAGGTATTCTAAAATTTAATACAATATAAAGATACTATTCAACATTACTCTTGAGTGTATTACTCCTTGAGTGTATCTTAGAAAACTGTTGAGTATGGACATACACATAAAAGTACATGCACAACATAAAGAACACTTAATACACAAAACTGAAAACATATTTGGTGAGGACAGAGAATAATTTGTAATTTTAATGATTAAGGTTCAGACATTTCAACCATACTGAGATGTAATCAAAACACTTTGGCACCCCAAATCTAATAAACCAAAAAAGGGACACATTTCAAATTTAAATCCATTAATTCACAATCAATCTTACATCTTTTGCATTCTCAACATCAAGATATGGTGGAATACTTTGTTGGACTGCTTTGCCATAAATCCCTGATGGTGGTTCAATACTTTGTTTAACTGCAAATGTATCCCCATTTTCCGCAGAAGATATCACAGACTGATTGCAGGTTTCTGGGGCTGAATGTGGATTTCCAAATACACCTGAAAGCAAACAACCAGTTGTTATAAACTACTTATATAATATAATCAAAAGTAAAACAAGGCTCATTATTTCAAGCAGGAACTTGAAGTATTAACTTGTGTAAACTCAAAAAAGACAGCAGCGCGGCTCTGTCTCTCCCGCCACCCGCGTTCGGTAGTCTCACAACGCTTCCCCCACCCTGGGGAGGTCGATGGCGATGGGCAGGCGAAGGAAGGAACGAGGGCCAGGCCGGTTGATGTGGCAAGGACAAAGCAATGTCATCCTACATTAACTTATAGTAGCATCATGATATTAATAGAATATGGTGAAATAATAAAGTATTAAAGTAAAACCCCAACAGGAGGATAATATAAGTGGTACTACAAGAGTTGAGGGACAACACTGTGGTAGAGCAACTGCTTTGAAGATACAGGTCACCAGTTTGAGCCCAGCACTCGCAATTAAGAGTGTAAACCCAACAACCAAATATTATCAGCACTGCAACCAAGCATGCATGACACTCATCATAATAATAATGAGAAAAGAAGAGGATAATTTAAAATAAGAGCTATCACAGGATATTTTAGGATAATAGCAGAAGAACTGCATAGTATAAATGCTGAATTTACAGAAAAAAAAGGCTAGTGTGAACTGAGTAATTTACAATGATTTCAGGAAGCACAAATTTAATCTAAAATTTGGAGACATGTTAGACGTTAAAGACAAATAAAGAGGAAGCAACAAATGAAGGATAAAATGAGGATGTTTATAAAGACCCGAACAGAGTAAGCATGTGGAATAAAAAATTAGTTTGACTGGCACAGCACAAATAAAGAGGTAATAGGAGATAAGTTTGCAGGAATAAACTGGAGTCAAGCTGAGGAAGCCTTTAAATTAACCTAATGAAGCTTCAGCAAAGTTGTTATTAAAGATTTCTGAGCAACATGTCCTAGTCACCAAAAATAAGATGTGTGACTTCAGTGTCTAGCATTACATTTGAGTTTTTAAATTAAGAAAAAAATGTGTTGGGATATGTTAATTTTCTTGTTTCAGGCTTAAACACAGCATTGCTCAGCGCTTCCTCTTGGCTCTGCGATCGAGTGTTACTTCTGGTGGGGCTCATACCCTGATGCTGGGGACCAAACCCAGGTTGGCTGCATCCAAGGCAAATGCCTTACTGGCTGTACTATCGCTCTAGCCTCTATGTTAATTAATAAGAACAATCCTTTCATAAAATATATGGGTACCAAATCATCATTCTGTAAACTAAAACTACCTTATAATTTTGTCAAATTATTTTCAATAATACTTTAAAAAATAAGTTTTTGTTTTTGTTTTGCTTTTTTTTTTCTGGTAGTGGGGAAGGGTGGTGCCAGGCCTGGAGTGTTCGAGGGCATTCCCTGGCTCTGTGCTACATGCAACCTAAGTGGGACTGACTACATGCAACATAAGTGTACTAATATTCTGGTCCCTGAAAAAAAGTTTTAAAATATATTTACAAATATATATTTGAATATATGTATATATTCAAAGATTCCCTAGAGTCCCTAAAATATATAAAAGGCTTCACCAGTGTTTCCAAAATCAGCAACACCAACGCTTGCCCCACCCCTGAAGGTTCGTGGAACGATTCTGAGGGACAGTAGTAGTCTCAAGTACAATTAGAAAGTCACTTTCTGTTTGTTTGCTTGAAAAAGATAGGTTTCTAGGATGGGTGAGAGGCATTGAGCAAATTATTTTCTGAAAGGAGAGGGTAGAAAAGAAAATTTTAAAAAGTCTAGACTTTATGTAGAAGATAACAAATTTATATTAACATATACATTTTAAGCTGATAAAATAAGGACTATCATTTGAATATAATCAATGATAAAACAGACTTAGTATCCCACTAAAACATCTCACACCAGTCTAAACTGCAGCTATCACAAAACTACTGATCCGGGGGCCAGAGTGACATGATAGCAAGTAGATTGCTTGCCTTGCATGCTGCCAATCAGGAATAGAACCCACCCTGAGCACAGAACCAAGAGTAAGCCATGAGCACTGTAGGGCATAGCGCAAAAATGAAACAAAACAAAACCTAATGACATAAATTAACTGTAGTTTCAGTACAGGATAGAAATACTTTTAGTTCTTTTAATACACATTCAGTACTCTTTTAGTTCTTCCAAGCAAATTTTTTTTTTTTTTTTTTTTTTTTTTTACTTTCTGGGTCACACCCAGCGATGCACAGGGGTCACTCACTCCTGGCTCTGCACTCAGGAATTATCCCTGGCGATGCTCAGGGGACCATATGGGATGCTGGAAATCGAACCTGGGTGCGCTGCGTGCAAGTCAAACGCCCTACCTGCTGTGCTATCACTCCAGCCCCCAAGCAAATAAAATTTTTAAAAAAGATATATTTAACATCTAAACCACACTCGATTCCTTTATGTATATGCTTTGTCCACAAGTAAAGGACAAGTATAACTAAAAAGCTATGAAACTTTGAAATACCTTTTCCAACAACTACTACTGAGTCTTGGGGTAAGGTACTTGTTGATGCAAAGTCAAACCCGGAAATTTGTTGTAAATTTGACGATCCTGTAAATCCGAAAATAAATAAATAAATAAATGGGGATAAATAAAACCTGCTCTTAAAATACTATTATATTTTTTAATACTAAAACATGGTCATTTATAAATTTAAAATTTTTTTCACACAACAAATTTATGACCCAACTGCAAAAAAAAATTTATGGAATTTTGTTTGGTTTTTGTTTTGAGGGGACACCTGGCAGTGCTGGGGACCATATCCAGTTTGAGCTTGGTGTTGCTCTAAGTACAATACTCAGTGCCAGCACAATAAAGTGCCAGTGATTAAGTCCAAGCCTCCTTTTTTCTTTTTTTTTATTAGTGAAACACCCTGAGGTACAGTTGTTGACCTTAAAAATTTTTGTACTTGGGTTTCAGTTGTACAATGATCGAGTACCCATCCCTCCACCAGTGCCCATTTTCCACCACCAATGATCCCAGTATCCCTCTCACCCCTCCACTCCCCCTCCACCCTATTCCGCCTCTGTGGCAGAGCATTCCCTTTCGTTCTCTCTCTCCTTTTGGTTGCTGAGGTTTGCAAAAGAGGCACTGAGTGGCAAACATGTTCGGTCTATATCTACTTTGAGCATGCAATTCCCATCCTGGGAGCAACCTCCCCACATCCTTTATTTGGTGTTCCCTTCTCTGTCTGAGCTGCCCTCTCCCCTAGCATGTGTGGCTAGCCTTCAAGCCATGGAGTAAACCTCCTGTAACTTATCGTGACTAATCTAGGATATTAGTCTCCTATTTTGTTACTTTATATTCCCCAGATGAATGCAATCTTTCTATGTCTGTCCCTCTCTTTCTGACTCATTTCACTTAGCATGATACTTTCCATGTAGTACCATTTGTATGTAAATTTCATGAATTCACCTTTTCTAACAGCTGCATAGTACTCCACTGTATAGATGTACCAAGGTTTCTTTAACCAGTCATCTGTTCTTGAAGCCCGAGCCTCCTTTATGCAAAGCATGTGTTCAGCCTGTTGAGCCATCTCTCTGGCTCCAAGAATTTACAATTTAGTTATCTCATGGCAATCTGTACTTTTCTAAGTTACCTTTTATTTCAATTTATAACTTCTCCTTTCTATTAGGGAGGGAAAAATTAATAGGTATATTGGCAGATAGACAGTACAGGGGTCAAGGCACTCTCTTTGCACATGGATAACCATGGTTCAATCAATCCCTGGCACTGCACATGGTTTTCTTAGCACCACCAGGAGTGATTTCTGAGGACAGAACAGGAGCAATTAATTGCTGAGCACCACTGGGAGAGGTCCAAAATGTATCTCCCCGAAAAAAAGATGAACATGAATGGGAATTCTATCTTAGTTCTAGTAGTTCTTTCTAGAACCTTGTAGCATAGAAGCTAGCATCCACAAAGTGTCTAACAAATATATTACACGCAGAAGAAAAGAAAATATATATATATATATATATATTACGTTAAAGAAAAGTAGTTAGCTATTTGTGAGCTTATTTCCTTTTGGGTCATCTCCCAGGCTCAGAACCAAATTTTGTGGGGGCAGGGTGTGGTTTGGCCCCATCTGGCAATGCTCTGGGCTTACACCAGGCTCTCTGCTTATTATCATACTTAAGCCAATAACTTCCTTTGGCTATATGTGAACAAGGTTTATACCTTGAAAAACTTTTTAATAAATCTTTTTTTGTTTGAAGGACACTCCCAGTTGTGCTCACTGTTTACTCCTTATTCTGCTCAGGGATCACACCTTGTGGTGCCTGGGGGACCATATGTGATGCTGGGAATCCAATTCGGGATGTGAAAGGTAAGTGCCTTAATCCCTCTACTCTATCTGGTCGCAGACCTTTTATTTTTTTAAAGAGAGAAACACATGAAGGTGATCGCTTTTGATATTTTTCTTTGGTATAATTTGAAATAAGGGTTAGGTGTATGACTTAGCAGGAAAACACTTGCCTTGCATAAGCTAGGCTCTGAGTGCCCTCTCAGCACCAGACACAAATATCATTTGTAATCATAAAAATTAATGTCCTTTGTATATCATATGCCAAAAGAAATATCGCATAACTCCAATTGGTGTTCAGTAACCAAGAAAGGCAAATTTCAATAAATTGAACAATTTGTCCAACAACAGTCCACAAATTGTCAAGAAATGGTGATACATAGCTTAGATTTACACATAAAGTAGCAAGAAATTACTAAATAATTACACAAATCTCACAAAGAAATATATAAAGTACAAGTTCTTTTTCTTTTCTTTTTCCTTTTCTTTTTTGGGGCAGATGCTCAGGGATGACTGCTTGCTCTGTGGTTAGGAATTACTCTTGGCGGGCTCAGAGAATCACTTGGGATGTCAGGGATCTAACCTGGGTCAGTTTCATGCAAGGCAAGCACTTCACCCACTGTACTACCGCCATTGCTCTGGCTTCTTTCTACTTTTTTCCTTTTTCTTTATATGAGGTGCCTGGGATTGAACCCAAGGCCTCAAATATTCAAGTAGTGACTCTACCAGTGGGCCATATACCTGGATCAAGAATACATTAACTCTAAGTAGCTGAACTTATTTTTAATGTTACCTTTACTTTTTCCACTAATTTTCTTCCAAACAAAGAAATGTTAATCAAGTCTCAATTCTAAAGTATAAATTAAAATTATTTTTTGTTTTGGGAGTCACACCTGGTGGTGTTCAGGTCTTACTTCCAGATCTGTACTCAGGGATCAGTCCAGCTCAGGAGACTGTCAGTTGAACCTGGATCACCAGGTGGGAGACAAGTGCCTTACCAGCTATACGAGCAGGGTCAGGGCTGAGCATCTTCCACCCAGATCCTCCATCTTCAAGTAGGCAGGGGTCACACCCACCAACTGGCCCCCTGGCACCCGTGTAATCTCATCAACAGCCAAGATCCAGAAACTATAAAACCCAGCTCCCAGAAGCGCACAGCTGCAGGACATCTTATTATCTCATTCTTTCTTTGGACAACCTGGCAGGCTACCGAATGTAACCTGCCCACACAACAGAGTCTGGCAAACTCCCCTTGGCGTACCCAATATGCCAAATACCAGTAACAATGATGGGTGTCATTCTCCTAACCCTGAAAAGAGCCTTGAATATGGCACTTTTTAAAATCTCAGGGCTAGGATGAAGGAGACATTACTGGGGCCTGCTTGAGGCAATTGACGAACAACAGGATGATGGTGATGGTGATTACCCCTAACTCACTTAGAGAAACCACTAATTTCTGGAATCAAGTTTGCAAATATTCTTGGCATTCAACATTAGTCACTTTCACTGCCATTATTTGGTGTTTGTAGGTATTTTGACAGAAAGCATGCAGGTTCAAAAGAACAAGCAGAGAACAAAGGGGGAGGAAGTGTTTCAGAGAAATAACCTTTTCTTTTTACTGTTAGGGGTGGGAGGGGTATGGGGGGAGCTGAGTGGGGGATAGGGCATGGGGCACACAATGCAGTACTCCAGGCTTACTCCTGGTTCTGCGCTGAGGGATCACTTCTGGCAGGCTTGAGGGGCCATACGGGATGCTGGGGATTGAACCCAGATTGGCTGCATATAAAGTAAATGGTCCACCCACTGTGCTATCGCTACAGTCCTTTTATTATGTGTGGTTTTGGGGCCTCAACAGGTGACGCTCAGAAGTTACTCCTGGCTCTGCACTCAGGAATTATGCACAGGGGATCATTTGGAATCAAACCTAAGTCAACTGCATGCAAGACAAATGCCCTACATCCTGTACTAATCTTCATCCCCAAGAGAGAAATAATCTTAAATATGGTGAATTTTTCTTGCAAAATGAACCCACTCACACATGGTATTCAATCCTAATATGTCTTTTGGAATTACTTTTTCCCTGTAGCAGTACACTCAATATATACTTTAATATAGGCAAGCACCCTACCTACTGTACATTCTCAGCCACCACCACCCCGTTTTTTAACACGAGAAACACATTACAAAATACAAAAACACCCACTTGTGTTAAGCAGGGGCTAGAGCGATAGCACAGTGGTAGGGCGTTTGCCTTGCAGGCAGCCAACATGGTCGACCCGAGTTCGATTCCTCTGCCACTCTCGGAGAGCCTGGCAAGCTACCGAGAGTATCTCGCCTGCACGGCAAAGCCTGGCAAGCTACCCATGATGTATTTGATATGCCAAACACAGTAACAACAAAGTCTCCAATGGAGATGTTACTGGGCCCGCTCGAGCAAATCGATGAACAATGGGAGGACAGTGATAGTGATAGTGATAGTGTTTTAAGCAGAGTCACAGCAACTGTTATCCGGAATCTGTTATTCCCCCAGTGCCACAGTAGATCATGCAATCTCAAGTCACTGCCAGATGTGTGAGAGCACTGTAACTAAACTGTGTAATTCTTGCGAGAACTACACCTACATGATGTGTGAACACCACAGTCAGGAGAACAAGTGTGGGTCGCAGATTAACTTCCATTGAGCGGTACAATCAGAATGTGTGCAAGCACAACTTAATGAGTGCAACTTCAGTCAGAACATCAACATGCGCCGTCCCCCACGCCCCACCGAGGTCGCCAGCTGCCCCCCACGAGCGGCTCTCCGGCACGGCCACGGCCCCGGAGGCACAAGGACTTAGCACAGAGAACCAGCCGCTTGGAGCAGAAAAGCAAATGGACTTGTGTTGATCCGCACCACCAAGCCTGCCCGGAGGGGGAAGGGCGTTGACCAGCCCGCCCGCTCCTCTCTGGAAAGAAAGATGGCGGCCGCACGGGAGCCTTGTGGAAAGTAGGTTTGAGCCGGGCTCGGGGGAGCGGCGGGGACCTCATGGGAAGGGGGGCTTTGTGGGCCGTCCCCCACGCCCCACCGAGGTCGCCAGCTGCCCCCCACGAGCGGCTCTCCGGCACGGCCACGGCCCCGGAGGCACAAGGACTTAGCACAGAGAACCAGCCGCTTGGAGCAGAAAAGCAAATGGACTTGTGTTGATCCGCACCACCAAGCCTGCCCGGAGGGGAAAGGGCGTTGACCAGCCCGCCCGCTCCTCTCTGGAAAGAAAGATGGCGGCCGCACGGGAGCCTTGTGGAAAGTAGGTTTGAGCCGGGCTCGGGGGGGGGGGGGGGGGGGCGGCGGGGACCTCATGGGAAGGGGGGCTCTGTGGGCCGTCCCCCACGCCCCACCGAGGTTGCCAGCTGCCCCCCACGAGCGGCTCTCCGGCACGGCCACGACTCCAGGGCACAGAAACCAATCTCTTAACTAGCTAACTTTTAATAGAAATTCTTCCAGGGTCAATAAGTAAAATAGCAGAAATTCAAAACCGCGCGGCCGCTATCATTTTATTCTTAAACCAAGTTGTAGAAAGCAAATCATTTCACAACACTGTTTCAGCATGTCTGATTGGGGGGGGGGGGGGGTGGGTCGTAAACTCTAAACAATAATTGTGCATCTTCTATCGAAATAATCTATCTAGTCAAAGTAGATAGAGTATTAACTAGAACTCATCTGCCTCACAAGAATTGGGAGGGGTGGGAGGTGGGGGTCTATTGGGGTTCGGGGTTAAAAATGAGTATTGGTAAAGGGAAATGTGTTCGGTATCTACATGACTGAGACCTAAACCCGAAAGCTCTGTAACTTTTCCCACAGTGATTCAATAAATAAATAAATTATTTAAAAAAAAAAAAAAAAAGAACATCAACATGCACCATACCTAAGGTATGCAACCATAGGCACTGAGGTCATGTGAGCAGAAGTGTGGGAGACAGAGTAACAACAACAAAACAATGGATAACTCATTTTTGCCTGCGTTTTTTGTGAACAATGAATGAATTACTTCATAGATCATTTTTTTTTTAATTTAAAAAAAGGACTATGTTTCAAGTGGCCAGAGAGATAGTACAGCAGGTAAGGCACTTGCCTTGCATGCAGCTGACCCAGGTTAGATCCCTGGCATCTCAAATGGTTCCCTGAGCAGCGACAGGAGGGATTTCTGAGTGCAGAGCCACGAATAACCCTGGGATATCACCAGGTATGTAGCTCAAAAACAAACAAAAAGGACTATGTTTCTAACCAAGTCCTCTCTTAATATGGTTTATTTAATAAATATATGTATATATTTTATATGTATATATATGATATGGGCTGGAGCGATAGCACAGCGGGTAAGGCTTTTGCCTTGCATGCAGCCAACATGGCTGACCCAGGTTCGATTCCTCCGCCCCTCTCAGAGTATCTCGCCCGCAAGGCAAAGCCTGGCAAGCTACCTGTGATGTATTCGATATGCCAAGCACAGTAACAAGTCTCACAATGTTACTGGGCCCACTGGAGCAAATCAATGAACAATGGGAGGACAGTGACAGTGATATATGATATGTACATAAACTATATGTACATATACTTATGAAATAAACCTATATACATGTGGCCTAAGATGATAAGAAATCACAGAAGTTGATCTTAGCACAATTATAATTGCTACACACAGAAACTGATAGCTTCTTACACTTGCTGGTAGATTATAATGCTTACGCATGGTGATTATAATTCTGCAGCACTGTCCTCCTGTTGTTCATCAATTTGCTCAAGTGGGCACCAGTAACGTTTCCATTGTGAGACTTGTTGTTACTGTTTTTGGCATTTCTAATACATCACGGGTAGCTTGCCAGGCTTTGCTGTGCGGGCAGAATACTCTCGGTAGCTTACCGAGCTCTCCAAGAAGGGCGTAGAAATCGAACCTGGGTCAGCCATGTGCAAGGCAAACACCCTACTTGCTATGCTATCACTCTGGCCCGATTATAATTATTTTATTTAAATATTTATGTTCTTCAAAATCACTGGAGCTGGGGAGATGGTGCAAAAGGTTGGAGCACATGCTTTTCACACAAAAGCTCCAAGTTTGTTTCCCAGTACCACATGTTTATCCAGCACCACTCATGATCCTGAATACCACGATATGGCCCCAAAGCAACCAAATTTTAAAAAATCACTTTCTGGGCAAAGAGTTAATATGCTGGGTAGGGTCCTTGCCTTGCATGTGGCTGACCCATGTTCGATCCCCAGAATCCAATACATCCCCTGAGCACAGCAGGAGTGATCCCTGAGCACAGAGCCAGGAGTAATCCCAGAGCAAAGCCAGATATGTTCCCCAAACAAAATCACTTTCTCTTAAGTCTGTGGGAGAGTTTTAAATGTTGTAATAAGATCTCTATGAAAAAAAAAAGAAACAGCTACCACAGATATACAACTTATTAATAAGTTGGGGTTTTGTTTGCTTGTTTTAGTTAATAAATTGTTAATGACTCATGTGATAAAGTCTTTTCGGGTTCTACCACAGGGAAATTAAATTTCCGCTTATACAGTTTTACTCCATGGTTACAGCCTAAGTAGGCTAAGAGGAGTCATTTACTAACATTGTTTCTCTACCCCATGAAAGTGGTAAGTGTATGTGTATCCTGGGGTAAGAAGGGATTTCTAGTTTTAACAAACTCTATGGCTATTTACTTTCCTACAGTGGCTTTTTAAGAACAGTTATAAACCAATACATAAATCTAAAGCTGCTCTATTCAACAAAATTATTTTAGAAACAATACATTAACACAAAGAATTGAAAAACCTCAAAAGTGAGACATCTCAGTTAATGTTTAGAGAGGATTCTAGTTTAGAGATAGCTAACCTTAAAAAGTAATTGCCAGGATATTTACTAACCTTTTGTATGTTTAAAATGTCTTGGGTGTTCCTTATTTTGTATTTTTGAAACACTAGCTGAAATGTCATGTGACCTATCATTTTCCAAATGACCACATCCAAACCCATAGTTCATTCGTTGACCGATTATGCTTACACTGGATGTTGTGATCCCTAAAAAAATAAATACATAAAAGTATTTACTTGAACGATTTAGATAGTGATATTGTAGATAGGTACATAGCTCTCCTCTAAGTCCTTCTAATGTTTTTAAAAGGTCAGTAATACAATACTAAAATTTTTAACTTAAAAGATTATAATAAAAACACTTTAATGCATTTTACCTTTCCTAGTAGATAAAAATGTTTATTATAAGCTTATATTAAAATATTTAAATTAATTACAAAATTTATGTTTGAATGATAAGGTAATATATATCCTTAAAATGACAAGTATTTTATGGCAAATAACACTTTAAACTTTGAGTCAAAAAAAATTAGAATCTAAATTGTATATTAGGAGAGTTTAAGATTCTACAAGTCTTTTTTCCTCTCTGTGTAATGGGTATACATTGGCCTGGCTAGTGAGGCAGTAAACTGTATAGCTATTATAGAGCTCAGAATATAGAACCATGTTTCCTGGCTATCTAATTCAGAACGCTGTCACTTAAAGGCTAAGCACTTAAAAGTACAGATAAGAGCAGTCCCTCTTTTAGAACTAATGTGGGGACTAAGTAAAGGAAATATATATAAAGAGTTGTACATTATGCATAGTATATTGTAAATACTCAAATGTTATTTTAAAAAGTAAAGTGTATCAAAACCTTAAAGAAAAACTGTATCATAAAATTTTAGAAGTAAAAATTGATGAAATTAAATCAGAGTATCAAGAACCAGAATATTTAATTTTGCTTTATGACAAACACATTTTACATATTAAATAAAATAGCTGCCAGATACTAATACTAAGTCATTTTTTTTAAAAGGGAGGTAACAGAACATATAAAAATTCAAATGTAGGTATCCATTCAACAAAAAAACAAAAGTTAATTTACATTTGAATTTTCAAACTGATTATCCTAAATATAGGGTGTTTAAAACCACAAAATATCAACTAAATGAAAAATTCTAGTGGATGTATATTTGAATCACCAGCAAACTTTATATAGCACCTATGTAAATCATTAATAGTTTGAAATATAATTTGTCTTTAAAAATAGGTAGAGGAGCGGACTGCTGACAATTGGGTTAAAGAGGATTACGATAAAGTACACTCAAATCACAAATCACAAATCATCCTGTTATTCGTCAATTGCCTCGAGCAGGCCCCAGTAACATCTCCTTCATCCTAGCCCTGAGATTATATTCAAGGCTCTTTAGGAGAATGAGACCCATCATTGTTACTGGTATTTGGCATATTGGGTACGCCATGGGGAGTTTGCCAGACTCTGCCGTGTGGGCAGGCTACGTTCGGTAGCCTGCCAGTTTGTCCAAAGTAGGAATGAGATAATAAGATGACACAATAAGATGCCGCGGCCGCATTCGCATTCGCATTCGGTTCCGGGAGCTGGTTTTTATAGTCTCTGAGTCTTGGCCGTTGATGGGATTACACAGCGCCAGGGGGCCAGTTGGTGGGTGTGACCCCCACCTACTGGAATTTGGAGGATCTGGGTGGAGGATGCTCGGCCCAAATCCAAGTAGGTTTGGAGATCTCGGCCCCGGAACCCGCGTGGCTTTGTCCCTCTGCCAGTACCTTCATGTGTACCTTCATGTGCCCCCGCACCTGGCTATCCTCGCCCGGGCCCCTTGGAGGGGAGCAGGTTGAGCTTTCCTCCCCACCCCGACCAAGGCTCCGGCAGCCAAAGACCTCCAGGACCAGCCACCACCATGCTGAGACTACTCTCCGCACACATGAAGTTACTGGCAGAGGGACAAAGTCACGCAGGTTCCAGGGCCCAGATCTCCAAACCTACTCGGATTTGGGCCGAGCATCCTCCACCCAGATCCTCCAAATTCTAGTAGGCGGGGGTCACACCCAACAACTGGCCCCCTGGCGCCGTGTAATCCCATCAGCGGCCAAGACACAGAGACTATAAAAACCAGCTCCCAGAAGAGAACAGTGCAGTCTCCTGCCCCCGCTCCTGGCTATCCTCGCCCGGGCCTCCTGGAGGGGAGCGGGTTGAGCTTTCCTCCCCACCCCGACCAGGGCTCTGGCAGCCAAAGACCTCCAGGACCAGCCACCACCATGCTGAGACTACTCTCCGCACACATGAAAGTGCACTAAGTTTTTAAAAACAAAATAACCTAATATTAAATAATAAAGGTTGTCTGAAAGTAATGTGGAAATCTAAATTTTGTTTTTATAATTAGTTCATAAATAAAGCCTCATAAAGATAGGTAAAGCTCGTAAAACTTAGCGCTTTGCCTCATAAGGCTTTGGAGGAAAAGCTTTTGATCGTAACTAATTCTATAGGGAAAAGTTGCAATGACATCATTCAAAAGATTAGCACAATGTGCTGAATTGTGCTGTGATGGAATTGTGATGGTGGAGTACAAAAGTATTCTTTGTTGGAAATACTATTATAAAGACAAATTTGGGTTTATAACATTAGTCTTATCCTCAACATCTTTATTTTCATGCTTTAGCAATTAAATAAGGATAAACTGGTGTGAGTAAATCACTTACTGAAAACAAAACAAATTCTGTTCTACAGCAAAAAATGTAAACCCAACTTGAGAAAATCCTAACTATTAACACCTTTTTTTTACCTTTTTGGGTCACACCCAGCAATGCGCAGGGGTTACTCCTGGCTCTGCACTCAGGAATTAATCCTGGCGGTGCTCGGGGGACCATATGGGATGCTGGGAATCATACCTGGGTTGGCCACGTGCAAGGCAAATGTACTATCACTCCAGCCCCCCAAACATCTTAACACTGTGATAGCCTCTTAAATATAACAAAAATATCTCATAGTGAATTATAATCTAATTTATCTGTTAAAAATATAAATTTCTAAATTTGAAAACTGATTCATTAGTTAGGAGTAAAGGCCAAACAATCCATATGTTCTACGTTTGATTCTTAGGATTAAGGAAGTTTGAGAAACACTGAATAGTAGTCAAGTTGACTCCTGCATGTAGAAAAATGTATTAGTATAAAACATTCCACTAAATTTAAATGACATACAAGGTCACACAACTAGGATGAAGTCAAACCTAGGTTTTCTAAATATCTCTTTAAAAAAAAAAGTTTAGGGGCAATACATGACAGTGCTCATTGTTTACCTCTGGCTCTGAACTCAGAGATCCCCATGAAGGGGATCTAAACCCGGTTCAACTGCATGCAAGGCAAATGCCCTACCTGCACTACTACTGTTCTGGCCCTAAGTCTATTATTTTTTCCATTTCAATGATATTTTCACAAATGAGGATTCTATATAGACTGAATATAATTTAACAAAAAAATATTTCTCAAACATGTATTAACAATGTACATTTATAATTTATTAGAATGATCATCCAAGAAAAAGATTAAATAATTTTAATCGTTCCCTTAGGGGAATAAAGACATTATGCATCAGGTCTTTTTATATGTTTTATATACCTCAACATTTACCAGTCTTAAGGTTTACGTTATTAGGTAAAGGAACTGAATTTCAAAGCAGTTCTTTGCACAGAGCATGAGTAGAGTTAATAAATATCAAACTGGAATTCCAAATGCAAGGTCTGTCAGATAACACAGCAAACACTCTTCTATTGTTTACAGCAGACTATTTCCTTACTGAGCACAAATTTTGTGGAAGGCAATATAGCAGATACACGATTGAGTTTGTGTTCACGAAAACCAGCTTAGGCATTTGAGTAGGTGACTGAAGGAAAGCTATCTCTGAGGAACAATATTTTGAATCCTTGAATATGAATCCAGAAAAGTAAAATAGGGTACCCTGCTCTGGGAGACCCTTCTTATAATCTGGGAGCTTCTCTGCCTTACTCTCCTTTCCTTTCTGTTTCCCTAAATAAAGTCTTTTGCTGAATTCATTCATTTTGCTCTCAGGTTCCTTACTTTCAACTTTGATTACTTGAAGACAAGAACCTGCTACATTTATCCTGTCCTCATTATCCACCAAGGTAAAGTGGCAAATTCAGTTTCTCTTTTCTGTTGTGGTTTTTTGTTGTTGTTGTTGTTTTTGGTTTTGTTTGGGGGCCAATCCCAGCATGCTCAGGGGTTACTCCTTGCTCTGCACTCAGAAATTACTTCTAGTGATGCTAGGAGACCTAATAAATCAGGGATAGAACCCAGGTTGGCTGCGAGCAAGGTAAGTTCCCTACTTGCTGTATTAGTGCTCTGCCTGAATTCAGCCTCTGACTAAAGTTTACTTTTCTTTCTCTCTCTCTCTCCAACCTTGCAACATGTAATACTGAGAGCAGTGGCAGCTCCTCCTATGCAAACCTACAGATACTGGTCTTATGCTCCTGCTCACCTACTGACAACTAGTACAGCAGCTGTGATCAAGGGGGACTGGAGAATTGAGATCTTGCCCAAAGCTCCCTCTCTCCTAAAGCTCTATTTTGGGTACTTTGTCACAGCCCAAAAAGGTCATTTTACTCTACAAACTCAGAATGTGTTCTCTGTATCTTCCTTTCAGAATCACTGGGAGTAAAACACAGGTTCCCAGAAGGACTACTGAAGAGTGCTGAGGCCATTCCCTGAGGCATTCCTGGAAGCCCCCGGGGATCCCTTTCTCTTCTCTTCAGCTTGAGTTAAATTCTCATCTCTCAGTCTGGCAATTCAGAGCCAGCATAGAGCTCTGCTAACCATATTTTTCTCTTTCCTGCTATATTGCTTTCACATTACACTTCATAGCAAACCAGAACTGGATCTATCCCCACAAAAAAAAGAAAAAGCAAGTAAGAAAAAAAATAAACGTAAGTAAAATAATTATAACACTCCTATAAAGATATCAATGCAAAGTGCATTAGTATCACCAGAGGTAATAATCAATTTTGTTTGTTAATAGGGAAAGGCTTCTCAGAGAAAGCAATTGAGCTGTTTCTAATACAGGATATAGTGCAGATTCTAGATTTTTATCCAGAACAGACAGTAAAAGCAAGTACAAAGATATAGAAAATGGTAAAAAAGGAGACTAAGGTGAGGGAGGTAGCTCCAAGGCTGGAGCCCACGCACACATGCTGGAGCCCCACAGGGACCACCTGGAGCAAATACAAGGAACACCAGGTTCCACCAAAAAAATTAAATTAAAAATAAAAATATGCATATTTAGGAGGAAGAAATTAAAATTCTTGACAATCAGTCCACATACTGCCTTGTTTGAGCACCACACCCAGTGCTTATAGCTTTCTCATCCTGGCTCTGCTCATAGGGATCATTCCTAGCAGGTCCGGGAAACCATAATCCCCTATGTATTTTATTTTGGTAATAAATCTATTTATTGAGCAGAAAGGCTATCAATCTAAAATTCCAGGTTAACAAAATTATTAATAAAAAATACGCATTAACTTAATTACCAGTAGAACTTCCAGTCTTAAAATGAAATTGCCTTTGTTTTAGTTTTGTATTTTGGGGCCACATCAGGTAATACTCAGTAGTTACTCCTGTCTCTGCACTCAGGAATCATCCTGGTGGTACTGGGGGGACCATATGAGATGTCGGGGATCGAACTGGGGTCAGATAGGTGAAAGGCAGGCATCTTAGAGGCTGTGTTCTCTCTCTGGTCTCCAAATTGTTGGGGTTTTGTCTGTTTGTTTGCTTTCTGGGTCACACCTGGCAATGCACAGGGGTTACTCCTGGCTTTTGCACTCAGGAATTACTCCTGGCAGTGCTCAGGGGACCATATGGGATGCTGGGAATCGAACCCAGGTCGGCCGCATGCAAGGCAAATGCCCTACCCACTGTATTATTGCTCTAGTCCCCTAGAATGCTTTCCATGATGTCCAGGGTTTCCAAACTATCCTGGTATATTAAAATGAAATAGATAATTTTCTCTAATTCAGATGACCAAAATATATTCCACGTAAACTAAATCAAAATGTCTATGAGTAGGAGAGAGTTAAAGAGTAAATGTTACTTAGACAAAGATTTTTTTTCCCTAAGAGTAAACATTTATTCTTGTGAAAATGATCTGTTAAGTAATATTAAAGGTGTATAGTCCTAACTGGTAATTATAAATATTCTAAAATACTGAATTCATTATTTTATTTATATCATTTGAAATATCTTATTTTTTTATTTAAAAAAAAAGGAAATGTTTGTAAAGTGATTATAAAATTGTACCTGCATTGGGACTTTGTTCAGTTACAGAAGAACTTTTATTTTTTGCAGAAGAAAGTCTAGGTGGACAAGGTTTTGATCCAAATGTTGGAAATACGTCAGACCTACAATGGAATAAGATAATTTCAATACATGTTTATGAATTAGGGCTATTCAACAAAATTACATCAAACACTGTATATTTTATTAACCCACTACACTTGGAGAAATAAAGCAGCAATAAGTATGAAAAACTATGGCTTCCCTGGTTCACTTTTTGAATTTCCAATTAGACACATGATCAATTCTTATTTATAAAAAAAAAAAAATCAACAAAAAGTGAGATTCTCTGAATTACACATGAAAAGTCCAAACTAAAACTAAGCTAAATTATCCCTAATTATATAAGTTTTTGTATTTGTTTGTGTCCCCCCCCCCAACTCACTGGTGCTCAGGGGACCAGATGGGGTGCTAGGGATTGAACCCAGGTAAGCTGCATGCAAGGCAAATGTTCTATCTGCTATAGTACTGCTCCAGCCCCCAATGATACAATTTCAACTTCATATAAAAACACAACTATTTCTAAATAAGTTCAAAGAGTTTTGGGGCCAGGGAGATAGTACAGTGAATAGGGCATTTAATTTGCATACAGTCGCCCTGGGATCAATCATCAGTACCCCATATAGTCCCTGAACCGTAGGAGGAATTATTCCTGAATTCAGGGTCAGGAGTAAGTCTGGAGCATTGCCAGATGTGGCAGACATACACACACACAAAGAGAGAATTTGGCAAATGCTACTTTTTGTATGTGCTTTCCTGACACTGTAAGTCTATAGCATTGTTGCAGTATAGACTGGAGACACAACACAACAAAATAAGCATACACTTTGTATGTGGGAGTCCTGGGTTCAATTCCCTGACCAAATGGTCCCTGAGTATAACCAGAAGCAACACCTGGACAGAGCTGGGAGAAGCCTTTGAGCACCACCAGATATAGCCCCAAAATAAAAATAAGAAAATAAATATAATTCAACATATTTTAAAGCTATAAATTGTTTTAACATTTTTTTTAATGTGCTATTTTAAACTAGGGAAAAGGCCAAAGGAAAAAACCTCAAATGTGATACTGAGTTTCAGGTTAGAACTTACAGATTATCATCCATTAACTATGTCAAAAAATAACATACATTATCCTCTTCCCCTGGGGAGTTGTAGACAGAGAAGAAGTTAATGATTCTTGGCTGTAAACACCACTTTCACTGTAAGAGCTGATGTTTGGAGAGGAAGATCGAGAGGGGGAGTCCACAGTTAAATCAAGCTTAATTGCAGAGTCAGGGCTTTCAAGATCAGAAGTACTGCCACTCAGTTTTGCTCTTTTCTTAGCAGCACTATTACGAAGGGACCTTAGAGAACTTTGCATCTAAGAAGAAAATAAAAACAACTTTACAAAATAAGTATTGGTAAAGGTTACCCTTATATTTTAAATTCCATGACAAGCTCCAATCCAGAACTAATGATAAATGTTACATATAAGTACATAATATAAAAATATAGTTATCACTCAGTTTTTTACAATGAACAGCCAACTGGTTTCTAACCTAAACAAGAAAGAACCCCAAGTTATTTTTCATATTGTTCCAGAACTAGGCAAAATGAGTAATATATAATAATTCAATCAACAGGAGACAGTGATGAATTTCATACCCAAGTTCCTTCTCCCCACCTATGATAGTAATTGAAAGAAACCTGGGATGTAGCAACCCCTCTTTTCTCAGCACATCCAACATTCTGAAAAACAATGAAGATCTTCACACCAAAAACTTCAAATCATAGTACCTTCTAAAGGAAAACAGTACATATCCCCACTAAGGAGAGCATAAAAGGCTAAAGTCAGAATAGGATGAAAAAATTTCTCAGAAATCAATCTTAACAATATGGAAATGGAAGGCCTACTAAACAGTGCATTTAAAATAACTTTCTGAAAACAATCCATTAAATATATTAAGCGCATGTTAGTGCAAACATTAAATGAAGTGCAGGGGCAGAAAGAATCCTTACAAAAGAGATTGAAACTATAAACCAAAATTCCAAATAGAAATATTGGATTAAAAATCACAGATGAAATAAAAAACTCCATGGAAAGCAAACAGACTCAATCTCACAGAGGAAATATAAGTAAAATTTTGGGGAACAAGGTTTAGGAAGCATCTGGAGATTTCTGGGATCTACTCCCAGCTCTGTGTTCAAGGGTTGCTTCCAATGATGCTCAAGGGACTGTGTGGTATTGGTGCCAGAGCTGGGGTGGGCTGAAGGCAACATAAGCATTTTAGTATCTGTTTTAACTTTCTAGCTCCCAATAAATAAAATTTAAGATAAATTCCAGTAGTAACGCAACTGGCAGAGGATTAATAAGATTTAGGAAAATGAAGAAGCCCTTCAAGAACTAACACTTTCCTTAAGAAGTGAAAACAAGGATACTGGGTATAAAAATCAGATGGAGAGGGTCTGGAGAGATAGTACAGTCGGTAGGTCATGCATCCCATAAGTTGACTCCTAAGTGCAGAGCCAGGAGTTAGCAGGTCTTGACCACTGGGTGTGACCCAGAAATTCCCACCCACCTTTCCTTGCAAAAAAAAAAAAAAAGTGGAGATAAAAAGAAACAGAAAAGAGGGGCTGGAGCAATAGCACAGCAGACAGGGTATTTGCCTTGCACTCAGCTCACCCCGGTTGGATCCTCGGCATCCCATATCCCAGTCTCCCTTGCACTGCCAGGAGTGATTCCTGAATACAGAGCCAGGAGTAATCCCTGAGCATCCCAGGTGCAGTCAAAATAAATAAATAAATAAATGGAACACAATTTTAAGCTGACACAAAGCAAACTGAAATAATAAAGAGGAAGTATCCACAGAAATAGTGCTAAACCTATGGTCAGATGTCATGTTTCTTCTCTGAAATAACTAGCATATATAGAGTTATATTGACAATATACTTTCATATTATAAGCAGAGTGACTTAGGATTCAAATATTGAGCATTCAGTAAAATCCCAATTTCATAAATATAAACTTTCACGTATGCATGAAGCACATTTTGTAGTTGTTAAAGATGAGGAAAAATAAAAATTAATTTAATAAATATACAATAAATTAATAAAAAATGTTAGTCACTGTCGCTGTCCTCCAGTTGTTCATCGATTTTCTCAAGCGGGCCCAGTAACATCTCCATTGGAGACTTTGTTGTTACTGTGTTTGGCATATCGAATACATCACGGGTAGTTTGCCAGGCTCTTCCGTGCGGAAAATGTTAGTAATAAATATAAAAGAACAAAACTACATAAAACACAAGTTAAAGGTTTGTGTGAAAGAAGAACAGAAACAATATTGGGGAGAAAACTGTGTTATATTCATTATTCATAAAACAGGAAATAAAGATCAACTATTAGATAGGGTTATTGGATAGCTGTATTACTATGTTATTTGTACTTTAATTAAAAAAGAAATAGTATATGTACAGAAGAAATTCTAGAACTTGAAGTACAAATTAAGTAGTGATAAATTTTGTTCCTCAAAGAAACTGTTCACTGTAGTTTCAGTTTCTATAATGAACATAAGACATTATTGAAGTATGAAAATACCTTATGAACTTAAAAGTACTTGATTTTTTTTCTCAGGTAACAATTACTTTACAAAAACAAACAAACATTTAAAAAATACAAGCATTTAAAATTGCTTTTTAAAATTATAAAAATTAACAAAATTATTTTAAAACTAACCTCTTCTTGATCCAAATCTTTATCCCTGATGTTTAATTCTGAAAGATCAATTTTAAGGCTATCTTTTTCACTCTTCCAAATTATATCAGGCTCTTTCTTTTTGGGTCCTACTGTGCTTAAATCAGCTTTATCAGGTAAAAGGCTGATTCCCCTGGGTATGGGAGGGACTGGCTTGGTCCCATTTAGTCCTCGACGGGAAGATGGCGATCTCATCAAAGCAGGTGTAAGCTGAATTGCAGGTTTTTCTTGAGAATTTTCTCCTTCATAAACACATTTCAAAAAACAATGTCATAAAAGTGGAAATTAAAATCACACTAGGAATATAGTATTCTTAAACAAAAAGCCTATTATCTGTTTGAGAAATAAAAATTACTACTTAAAATTATATAGAAGTATTAATTAGTATCCCCTAACAAAATAACAAAATGAACCATCAAAATTCATCCCCAAATAAAACAAAAATATCATGTGCCAAATCAAATTTCTATCTTCATACATATTACCATTAATTCTGTAGACAATCTTTGTATACTAATGTTCATAATAAGTTAGAAGGTTTACATTTTGGACTTATTTAATTGTATAAGCAACCTTTGAATGACTACTTCATTCAATGAAGTAATACAGGAAGAGAACATGGGGAGAACAAATTAAAATATCAGCTTTCAATACATTATCGGCTTTGATAAGTCAAAACAAAAATAGAAGAGAATGAAGAAGTTTCAGTATAAAAGGGAAATAAAATTGATTATGCAATAAACTGACCTTATAGTAATGTATACTAACGTTCATAATAAGGTAGAAGGTTTACATTTTGGACTTATTTAATTGTATAAGCAACCTCTGAATGACTATTTCATTCAATGAAGTAATACAGGAAGAGAACATGGGGAGAACAAATATTAGTACTGTGGTAAGTTTACGGTAGAAAGTCTTACTTTAGAGACTGAATAGAAAAACCTCTACAAAATGTGTGGAATATCAGAATTTTTCTTTCTCCCTGGGCCCCCCGCACCCCCACCCCCGTAGTAATCCAGATCAAGATCACCTAGTCACATGCGTGGCTAATGTCCTCAAGTGTCCTTAGACACTTTATAAGTCACTAAAACATCTTCCAGGCCCTTTTTACCAGGGATCACAAATAGTGGAAGTCAAGAATCATCTTGCACATGTGAAGGCACCACAGGCAGTATAAAGGCCTATGGCCTGCCAGAGAAATGCTTAAAGCCCCTTTTAATTTTAGAGACAACTATTGTTAAAAATATTTTAAGTTATAAAAATAGAACTGCTTCAAATAATTTTAACATACCAAACACTGAATAACTATCAAGTAAATTAAAAAAGAAACTTTACAACTTGAATGACAATGAATACCATTTTATATTTGTAAAACTAAAATTTGTTCATATGCTCTAAGGTTATTCATGTCCCTTTTTATAGGGGAGTGGGGGAGGCAATTTTACCTGGTCATAGGACTTATTCCTGGTTCTGAGCTAAAGGATTATTCCTAAGGCTCAGAGGACCATCAAGGACGCTGGGGATCAAATTCAAGTTGGCTGTTTTCAAGGCAATCACCTTACTTACTATACTATCTCTCCATCCCTCATGACCATTTCAAAGCATAAATAGATGTGTCACTTAGTTTTTGTAATTTTTTTTGGGGGGGGCATGCCCCAGGGCTTATTCCTGGCTTTATGCTCATAGATCACTCCTGATGGTACTCAAGGGATGATATACAGTGCCAGGGATTAAACTGGTATATAGGCATGCAAGGCAAGGGTCTTCCCCACTGTACTATTCCATTAGGCCCCTTATACTGCAACTTGTAAAGTCTATATTTCTCAAAAGTGACAAAATAACTTTCAGCTAACCTTAATATTACACATTTGATCTATTAATACTATCAAATATTTTCCTATATCATTTACTAATTCATAGAAATAAAATGTAACTTACTAGCTTTTACAAAATCTAGCAACCTCAACTCCATAATAATTGGTACATACAAAATTGAACAAAGTATCTTTTCTACCTGTAGGATCAGATGATTTTGGGCTGACAAGTTTTTTCTGTGCAGTTGGCTTAGATAATCCTTCAAAATTTTTAAGAGGCCAGGAATTTGAGAAATTGACAGAATTATCTTGAGACTTCTTTGGAGATATATTAAGAGATGTGTGCTTTGGACTAGTTCGAGGTGATGAGAGAGGATAGGATGGGAGGATGAAGGCTCCTGTCCCTGGATTTGGACCAGAGTATGAAGTACGTTCTGCTTGACTACCAAATGTTTGTTGTGTTTTATTGCCAAAACTTAGGCTGGTATATACTGCAACAAAGCAAAAGAGATTATGTTATTTATATAATACTTCCTAGAGCAATTTTTTCTTTACATACTCAGGTTTTCAGCCCATCTTCTATTTATGTTTATTTTCAAAGAGGAGCATGCCTTATGGTGCTCAAGAGTCATTCCTGGTGATGTTCGGCAACCATACTGAGTGCTGGGGATTCAATCTAGGTCTAATTTAGGCTCAAATTCAATCTCAGCCCAAACAAATTCCTTAACTTGCCCCCCTAGTTATTTTTTTAAAATAGGTTCAATGGGATGGAGAGATAGTAGAGAGTAGGGAACATGCCTTGCATTTGGCTAACCCAGGTTCAACCCCTGGACACCACATGGTCCCCCAAGCATGCCAGGAGTCAGCCCAGAGTGCAGTTAGGAGTAAGCCCTGAGCACAGCTGAGTGTGGCCCCAAAATTGAAGCATAAAACAAAAACATAAAACTAGGTTCCAGAAATCTACTTGTCTATCACTGCATTACAATGATTTTATTATAAGATTACCTGATGAGTTTATTTCCATTTTGATCTAAAGGATTATTTTGGCAGGGGCTGGTGGACAAGTAGAACATGTAAGCTGCTGGCTATTTACATGGCTGACCTGGGTTCGATCTCTGGTACCACATATGGTCCCCTAAGCACCCACAGGAGTGATCCCTAAACACTGCCAGGTCTAGCCAAAAAGCATAAATAAATACGCTGACTATTCTGACCATATCAATACCATAAATATTTAATACTATTGTAACCATGTTACCTAAACTAAATAAAATCAATTTTAAAAATTGTAACTTTGGGGGCGCACACCCACGGATGCTGGGTTAGATGAGGAGTCATACAGAGCTAGGGAGCAAACTCACGGTCTTATGTAATACAAGAAATGTACCCAATCTTTGGGAACTATTTCCCTCTCCCCCAGTATGCAATATTTATCAGTATTTTATAGGTTAGGGGATGGAGTGACAGTACAGTGGGTACGGCATTTGCCTTGCATGCAGCCGACCTGGGTTCTATTCCCAGCATCCCATATGGTCCCCTGAGCACCACCAGGAGTAATTCCTGAGTGCAAAGCCAGGAATAACCCCTGTGCATTGCCGGGTGTGACACACACACACACACACACACACACACACACACACACACACACACACACACACACAAAGAATACATTAGTAGGAATACATCAACATTTTTGTATCTGTTTTCTTTACTTGTCTAGTGTTGTTCTTTCATGTTTTACTTTCTATTTTGATGTCTTAGACACTGCTCTGAAAAAAGCACTTGAAATGCTGTTTAAATTAGCATTTCTAAAAATAAAATCTGAGGTTAGGAAAGAGTATAGCAATTAGGGCGCACACAGTCTTAGAGAACCCCAGGATCACAGAGCCTGAGAAGCATCTCAGCCTTAAGTCATTGAGTTGAACCACTGCCCTGTTAGCTGAGAATCACTGGGAGGGCTCTCGGGTCTCCTGGGTACCACTTGAGGAGGCTCCATTCCTGAAAATAAAATAAAATTCAAACTTTCTCTTTTTGTTGTTTTTTTTTTGTTTTGTTCTGGGGTCAAATCCAGCAACGCTCAGGAATTACCCCTGAATTTTCACTCAGGAATTATTTCTGACAGTGTTCTGGGAACAATATGGGATGCTGGAAATACAACTCAGGTCGGCCTTGTGCAAGGCAAGTGCCCACATGCAAGTGTAAGCCCCTTAGTTTGATTCCCAGCAATGAAAAATAAATAAATTAAATTGGGTAATCAGAGTATTTTTAGGCACAATGATATTTATATATACATATATTAAAAAGTCAATGGAATGAAAAAATATATCAATTTTCAAAACTGTTGTGATTCACAGTATTTTTAAATGAGTGGCTGGGGATATGGATCAAAGGGTGGAGAATATGCTTTTATTCGTTTGATCACCAGTACCATATGGTCCTTGCAGCATCATTCGGTATGGCTCTGGTGATCCTTGATTACTTCTAGGTATGTGGTCTCCAAAAAATAAATATTAATTTAATTAAATTGGAATGAGAATTCTATATGGTCTGGATCTAGTATCTGTTCTTAGGTCTGATCAAAACAAATCATGAAAACTGGTAGTTAAGATGATGGTAGTCCTGAAAGAATTTTTGACGTATAATCTACTATTAAGTTGAATTCTAACTTTATCAAGAGTTAGTTTTTTTTGCTTTTGTTTTTGTTTGGGGGGGGGCATACCTGGCAGTACTCAGAAGTTACTCCTGGCTTTGCACTCAGGTATTATTACTCCTGGCCTGACTCAGGGGACCATATGGGATGCCAGGGATAAACCTGGGTCAGTTGTATACAAGGCAAGCACCTTACCTACTATACTATCTCTCCAGACTCAAAATTCTAACTTTAAAGAACACACTATCCCTTTAGTAGTTGCTCTAATAGTTATTCCCAGAAGTTAGAGATAAATCAGAGACTTGACAAAGACCTGATTAAACAGAGCTAAGAAGTCTTCAAGGGTAATGAAATTCCTCCACAACATTCTAAATCAGAACAGGCTCAGCAACACAGATAAATCTCTGCTTCTTGAGATTTATGAGTCCCAAAGATCACGTCACGTCACAGTCCTCCCATTGTTCATCGATTTGCTCAAGCGGGCCCAGTAACGTCTCCATCATGAGACTTGTTGTTACTGTGTTTGGCATATCGAATACATTATGGGTAGCTTGCCAGGCTCTGCCATGCGGGCGAGATACTCTCGGTAGCTTGCCGGGCTCTCCGAGAGGGGCGGAAGAATCGAACTCGGGTCGGCCATGTTGGCTGCATGCAAGGCAAATGCCCTACCACTGTGCTATCGCTCCAGCCCTACCCCATTTATTAATACAGAAAATTAACTAATACTTAGTAGTTCTGAAATTCTATTATTTATAAATAATTGAATTCATTCAAATTTCAAGTCCTCTTATCTTTTATAAATTGAACATCTTCTCTTTTTTTTTTGAGGGGGGACGGGAGGGCTAGGGAGAAGAGGGGTTTGGCCCCCACACAGTGGTGCTCAGGGATCATCCCTGGCAAGTTCAAGGGACCATAAAGGGTGCCAGGTTCGAGGCCCAAGTCCAAAGATATCCAGTAAAAATTTAGATAATTAAATAAAAATGAATAGTGGCTAGGAAGCCAGCTCAAAGAACTAATAAACACATTTTACATTCAGGTGTTCCTGGCAACACATACCTAAGCACCAAAAAAAGCAACCCCCAAGCACCACACTGTAAGTAACCTGTGAGCACAGCCTGGAATGGCCAAAAAAAAGAAAAGAAAAAAGAAAAAGAAAATTTAAAAAAAGGGAAATATGGACTATTTTATTGGAAATAATACCACACAGAAGAACTTAATGGAGTCATGTCCCTCTGTTTGGGGTGGAGGAAAGAACAGCAGAAACATTAAGTTAAGTGAAGTGAAGTGCTACTTAAACTTCAAATAATTATCACGTTTCCATCAATCTTTGATAAAGGCACATACAAAAGATCAAAACACATATAATAAATATTTTATCTGTTCTTACTTATAAACAATAGTTGGAGATGGGGGAAGGTATTAAAGACCATAAAAGAAAATTTAATGAACCCCTTCAAATACAAATTCCTAGGACTGACAGCTGACCTCAAACCTCCCTTTTGTTCTCTTAAAATAATAGGAAGTTACAGTTCCTAACAAAAAACTATAAATAATTGTTGTTAGTCTTAAAATGAAAAACATTTATGGAAAGTAACTGTTTCGTACTACCACAAGACTCTTTATTTTATTTGGGGGTTATACCTAGTGGTATTCAGGGCTTACTCCAGGCTCTGCACTCAAGTTTCAGTCCTGGTGAGGTTCTGGGAACCATATGTATGTGGTGCCTGAGATTGAACCCAGACCACCCACGTGCAAGGTAAGTGCTCTACCTTGTAATATCACTCTGGCCCCAACACAGTCTTTACAATTAAAGCTATTTTCAATTACTTGGCATTAAATGTTGAAAAATCCCTTACAAAACCTACAGGCATCCCTGGGGACACATTCCATTTTATTTCAATAATATGTCTTCAATCATTCTGAATTTTGTTTTTATTCTCTGAACAACTGAAGTACATTTTTATCTCAGGTATTTTGCATTTGCTGATAGCTCTGTCTAGTTTTTTTTTTCTCCAACAAATCGATGGTTCTTTAAGGGAAAGTTTAAGTATCACGCCCTAAGAGAGGCTTTACCTGACTACTCATGCTAAAGTGTCACCCTCTAAAACCATTCACATTTTACTGCTTTTAATCTACACCAGTTTTATAGCATCTTGAATTAAATTTAGTAACATTAAATTTATTATAATTAAAGTTTGATTTCATTTGAAGAAATAAGCTAGAATAATTCTTAAAAAAAGAAAAAGAAACAAAAATAAAACTTATTTCTACCATGAATTTCTAAGTACTCAAATTTTAATCAGTTAAATTTATACAAAGATTACCAAATCTAATAATTTTGGATAATAATTACAAAAACTGCCAAGCTGTTATTTTTTTAAAATAACTTTTCTATTTCACAAGTAAAATTACACAAAGTAACATACTAATTAGATTTATAAATCATTTGAATCCAGATAGATTTGGAATCTTAACCTTTATCTTGATGACTATTTGTTGTTCCCAGGAACTGTAAGTCAGAATCCACACTGCCAGTTTTACCAGATAACTGTGAAAATCCGTGTTGCCCACATTTCCCAGCAAGATTTGTCTGATGAGTTCCAGTAGTGCCTATTGAAGGTAGGAGAAAAGCAAAAGTGAAAAATAACTTTAACTTATGATTATCTCTAATTGCACAAATGTTCGTATCATACATAGGAATAAGTACAGGCGTATATGTAGAGTAAGGCAGGCAAGAACAGGATAAAGTTTCTGATAGGAGTTAAATGACATGGCAAACTATTAAAGAAGACACATAAGTAAGTTGACAAAATATGCATAAAGGTACATATTCTTATTTTCATTTTTTGTCACTGGGCCATACCAGGTAGTGCTCAGGGCTAAATCCTGGCTCTGCACACAGGGGTCACTCCTGGTGGGCTCAGAAAGGCCACATGCAAGACAAATTTCCTACCACTGTACTTTCACTCCAGCCCCTAAAGTCCACATTCTTACATATTCCTTCTGTCGCCATGGAATGCTTCTTCAGACCCGCATTTCCTTCTTCCCATACCATAGCCAAAAAACTTTTAGTATGGAACTCTTTTACTTCCTTTCCTAAAATAAATACGGCATTCATACAGTTTTCAACAGCAGAAGGGCGTTTACCTTGTACACGGCCAACTGGGGTTCAAGCCCCACAAGCTCTTTCCAGCAAGCTACCAAGAGTATCCAGCCCACAAGGCAATAGATGAACAATGGGGTGACAGTGCTACAGTGCTACCTAGACATTCATGTTTCCTAGATCCCTAGCCTCCTCCTGTGCCTGGTCAAAGTTCTCCCTGGACATAAAAATAAGCATGAAAAAAATAAGGTACCCCATTTATTCACTGTCACTGTCCTCCCGTTGTTCATCAATTTGCTTGAGTGGGCACCAGTAACGTCTCCATTGTGAGACTTGTTGTTACTGTGTTTGGCATATTAAATACGTCAGTGGTAGATTGTCAGGCTTTGCCGTGAGGGCGAAATACTCTTGGTAGCTTGCCGGGCTCTCCGAGAGGAGCAGAGGAATCTAACCTGGGTTGTCCCGGTTGGCCACGTGCAAGGCAAATGCCCTACCACTGTGCTATCACGCCCTACCCAAAATGTAAAAAAAAAAAAAAGTTCAATTTTTTTTAGTCTAGTACTTAAGATGTTCCCATATTATAATTTATCTTTGGCCATCTAAAACAAAAATTTGCTTTTACCCACCTCCCAGGATATCTCAATTCCTAATATAAACTTTTGTTCTCTTCATATATTCCCTATAACTCTATCATATGCACTCCAAAATAAGTAAATGCTATGTTCACTTTAACACCTTTTCTAACTAATATGACCTGTTACAATGACGACGTGCTCTGAATTACTTTAATATCTACTTTCTGTGACTCATATAATAGAAGAACTGTCTAGATTCTCTAGGCAAAAATTCTTGGAGCTTGACTCTCTCTCTCTCTCTCTCTCTCTCTCTCTCTCTCTCTCTCTCTCTCTCTTCAGCAACCCACCCCCACTGTCTTATCACTCCACCCTTTTCTTTATTAATTTAAAAAATGCTTCTCACTTAGAATAATAGACAACATTCATTTAATAGTCTATGTCTGCTTTCCTTTATGCATTTATTCATTTCAATCCAGTCATACTCGTCTCTGAGATTTTTCTATGTGTCCCATAATCTGCACTGACAATTTGCTCTTCCTAGAACTATGTTGTTATCTAGAAATTTTGCTGCAAATATTTCCTTGTGATTAGGGACTTTTCCACATAATTTAAAACAGTGAGTTTTCTTTTCAATTCCTCTTCTGTTTTACTTTTATGCATAGTATATACCACGTTTGACATACTCTGACTAACATTATTTAATGACTGCTTCTCCCCAACTGAAATGTAAAATCCATAAAAGTTTTCCCTCTTCCATTCCGCCCTTCCCCCCATCACTTTTGGCCATACTTAGTGATGCTCAGGGGTTACCCCTGACTGAGTACTCAGGAGAACATGTGGTACTGCCTAAATGCTCCACATGCAAAGCATGCATTCTGCTCACAGAGCTTTTCTCTGGCCCATTTTCCTTCTTTTGCTAATGGATATATAATATTCAGTATTTAGAAAATTACATGGACATGTAAGATACTTAATAAATATGAATGATTAAGTAAATACTGCCTTAAATTATTTAAAAGTGAGAAACATTTCTATGGTCTTCTGCAACAATTATGTTAAAGTAACCACTCTTATCAAATCTTTGAAAAGAATTTAACCTATAAGAAAAAAGTGAAACTGAACTGTCTAGTTATAAATTTTATGAGACTCTGAATAAACCATTAAGCTAAGAGAAATTCTTAACTTGGTTCAGTATATAAAGTACCTATATCTTTTACTTACCAGAGGCACATACAGGAAGAGAATCTGGATTAAAATCTCGACTATTCTGAAATAAATTTCTTGATACTCTTTTTCTGCTAAAACATAAATCATCATTGACCGATGATTGACCTGGAGAAGGCTTTAATTTTGGAGATGGGATGAAATCATAAGCTGAAAACTAATAGAACAAAATTATGAATTAGCAAGTTTGTGTTGTTTACTGAGTAAAAATACACAATACACAATAAACTAAACCCAGTTAAGAAATTGGTATAAGAAAAGTAAATGTATCTAATATATGACAGAAATATTCACATAGCGGTAGATAGATGAACAGATTTAATTCTGTGATAGAAATATTCATTTTTCCTTCTTTCTTACTTCACTGCATCTGCACTTTACCTTTTCAGTTTACACCCAGTAGCCAAGAAGGAGCAAATACAAATGACAAAAATAATGAAATGACAACTTCAGTAGTGAGAAGAACGTTTCTAATTCAGCACCCCATGATACAATGCCATCCTCATTTACATAGATAACATATGGCACTGTAGGTGACTAACTCCTAACTGATGCAAATTTACTACACATAATCTATAACCCTGATGGAAATGCACATCTAATACAGTCTAAGAAAATTTTGTTTTGTTGTTGTCTACACCCAGCAGTGCTCAGGGATCACTCCTGGCTCAATGCTCAGGGATCTCCCTAGAGGCTCTCTGGGGTTGGCAGAGATTGGGACAAAAAAAAAAAAAACCTAAATACTAGCATCAAAAACTAAAGTGAGGACACTACAGATAGGACAGAGCCCATAGATATTAATATCAAGGAACATCACAAATAATTTTATGCTCATAAATTTAATGATCTAGAATAAATGGAACAATTCATCAGAAAACACAATCTGCCAAATTATCTGAATCGATAATTAATAACCTACTAAAATAATCATCTCAGATAGTTACTGATGTTCATTTTGGTTTGGGGGCCACACCCAGAAGTGCTCAGGGCTTATTCCTGGCTCTGTGTTCGGGGTTCACTCGTGGCAGTTTTCAGGGGTCCATATGCTATGACAGGGATCACACCTGGGTTGGCCACATGCAAGGCAAACACCTCACCCATTATACTCTATTCCTATAGCCCTCACTAGTGAAGTCTATGAAACACTCACCAAACAAATTTTATCAATTTACTTTTATCTTTTTCAGGAGACAGAAATCAAGAAGAAAAGAAGGAGACCAATATCTCAAAAACATAACTGCTAAAAAAAACTTCAAAATATTAGCAAGTGAAGTTATGTCAATTATAGCTAAAACAGCAAACTGAACTCAACAACTTGTAATTGATTATACGCTATAAACATAATCAAGTAGTAATTTTGTTGTTGTTATTTTGAGCCATACCTGATAAGACCCTGGGACCTGCTGGGACTTGGGGAGGAGTCACACCTGATCTGTGTCTGGATCACTCCCAGTGATGCTTGTGGGAACCATGCAGTCTACAGATCAAAAATATTCAGCCAGTTGAATTGCCCACAGAGCAATCTCTTGGCCCACCAAGTGGGATTTCCCCCAAAATTTACAAAGGCAGATTTGACAACTGAAAAATCTTTCTCAAAGAAGAAAAAACACCTGAGGGACACATTATCTATGATAATATGGTTTTAAAAAACACATTTTCAATGACTGTAGAAAAAGTATTTGACAAAAAACAATATTTATACATGTTTTAATCATGTTTTATCATGTCACTGTCACTGTCCTCCCGTTGTTCATCAATTTGCTCAAGGGGGCTCAGTAACATTGTGAGACTTGTTACTGTGTTTGGAATATTGAATATGTCATGGGTAGCTTGCCAGGCTTTGCTGTGCGGGCAAGATACTCTTAGTAGCTTGCCAGGCTCTTCGAGAGGGGCAGAGGAATCAAACTCGAGTTGGCCATGTCAGCCGAGTACAAGGCAAACACCCTACCTGCTGTGCTATCGCTTCAGTCATGTATAAAAATATTTATAATTTTTATACATGATAAAAAAAATCTCTCAGTACATCAGAAAGGGAACTAGTCAACTTCATAAGTAATCTATAAAAAACCTTCAGTTAGTATCACAATAATGGAAAAAGTCAAACCTTTTTTTGCTAAAATCCAAAGGTAATAACTTGCCACACATCTACTTGAGATCATACTGGAAAAGAAAACAGTTAAGAAAGGGAAATAATGGATGCACAATGAAGGAAATGTGAAAGTGTCTTTTTTAGATTATACTGCTATCTACTTAGAAAATCAAAAGAATAATCATCAACAACAAAAATCTCATGAACCTAATAAGCAATTACACAAAGGTAACAGGATACAAGGTAAACATACAAGTCACAACACACCTGAAATAACCAACTGAAACACTTAATATGATGAGAACAGAGAGATAGTACAAGATTTGTTAAATCATCTGTTTTGAAGATATGAACCCAGATTTAATTCCTGACACAATATATCGTCTCAGGGTCAGGGAGATAGCATAACATGTAGGATGTTTTCCTTGCCCATGACTGACCTGGGTTTGATCCCTGGCACTCCAGATCCCCTCATCTCTCGCCCGCAACACCACCAGGACTTATCCCTGAGTGTAGAGCCCTGAGTGTCACAAGGTGTGACCCAAAAATCAAAACCAAACAACAACAACTATACAGTCACCCAAACACCTCCAAAAGTGATCCTCAGAACAGAGTAGTCCTTGAGCACTACTATGTATCACCCAACTTCCTCCCTCCAAATCTAACAAAATATGAAAGATCTAATGAGAAAAACTATGAAACTCTACTGAAATACAGCAATGAAAAGCTAGTAAATGAAGTTTTCCATGTCTATGAATAGTATTGAAAACTGTCAAGTTATCAATTTTTCTTGTCTAGAATACAAGACAAAATGCAATTTTACATCAAGAGACAATCCAATTTTCACCCAAATCCCAGCAATTTATTTTGTAAATACCAATAAAGTGATTCTTAAGTTTAAATGGAGAAGTGAAATGGCCCGAAATAACCAACTCCATACTGAAAAAGAACAAAGCTAAAGAAACGACACAACATAATTTAAGATTTTATTATAAAGCTACAGAAATCAAGATATTAAGATACTAAAAGAAATTTAGGTACTGGCAAAAAGTTAACAGGCCAATGAAACAAACAGAATTGTAAAAACAGACCCACAGAAATAGTTACCTGATCTTTGATAAAGGAACAAAGACAAACCAATAAAGATTGCATTTTAAATAAATGGTGTTGAAATAACTAGATATCCATGTCATAAAATGAATCTAGAGCCTGGGAAATAGTACATGAGTTAGGGCACACTCAAGTTTGCTCTCTGGTACAAGGCCTCCAGATCATCAGCAGGTATAGCAAAGTAAACCTAGATGGCTGACACCTTTAAAAAATTGTTTTTGTTTTCTGGGTCACACCCAGTGTATCTCAGGGCTTATGTACTTAGGGATCACTCCTGGTGGGGCTCAGGGGACCACACGGGGTGCTGGGGATCAAATCTAGGCTGGTCCCATGTAAGGTGCCTTACCTTCCTGGCTATCTCTCCAGCTCTGTGACTACTTTTTAGACATAATACCAAATAAAAGTAGACTCCATAAAAGAATTGCTAAGATGCACATCACTAAAATTAAATAATAATAAGCTCTTGGTAAGGCAGGACAATAAGACACCAGGGGAAAAAAATTGCAAAAGACAAATCTGTTATAAGCTGTCATTCAAAATGAATACAGAACTCTTCATATTCAACAAAAAGAGTTACTTGATTAAAATCTAGCAAAACACATTAGCAGACACCAAAGATAAGCAGATGGTAAACAAGCACATGAAAAAAATGTACAGATTAGGGAACTGAATACTAAGACAATGAACTAAAATTCACAGCTGTCAGACTGTTGAAACCAGAACTCTGAGCACAATAAATGCTTGTGAGAACACACAGCAACAAGAACACTAATTCATTGCAGAGATAACTGACAATGCAATTAGTGACTGTGGCCACTTTGGAAGAAACCTCAATAATTTCTTATAAAACCAAATATACAATCCAGGCATCATCCTCATTAGTATTATCCAAAAGAACTGAAAACTACTGATCACACGCACACACACAAAACCATTTATAAAATCTTTATTCCTAATTGCCAAAACTTAGGAGGAAACAGATGACCTTCAAAGAAACAGGCAAGCGTTTTGTGCTAGACGCAACATGAGGCATTTTAACCATGTTAGTCCTGAAAACTCATTTCAAGAATGGGGAGACAAACTTAGGCATGTGAGCTATGATAAAGATATGATGCCATTCTTAGATGACACAGATATATTTAGCCATGAGCTATCAACATTTACAACTATTTTTAAATGGTTCACCAAAGAGATCAGCAGGTAAGGTGCTTGGCCCTGCACATGGCCCTCCTGGGTTCAATCCCCCACACTCTATGCACTCCCTCCAGGAGTGATCCTTGAGCACAAAACCAGATATAAGCCCCTAGCACAGCCAGGTGTGGCCCCTAAACAAAAACAAAGAGCCCTAGTCCCTTTAGGGTCTGAGAGATAGTACAGAGTGTAGGGAGCTTGCCTTGCTCATGATCAACCAGGGTTGAATCCCAGCACAAACCATCCCCTGAGCCCTGTAAGGAGTGAACCCTGAGGACAGAGCCAGGAGTATACCTTGAATACTGCTAGGTATGCCCCCATCCCCAAAAACATGTTCAATAAATATGGAACACAAATAACAAAACTGTAACTAGTAAGTACAAAGTATGTAGATATTCATCAGTAAAATATGGGGGGGGGGGGGAGGTATTCAAGAGAGAACACAAGCTTGAAAAAGCAAGTTCTTTTAAATTATTTGTATACTTGGATTTTAAAATGAAACAAAAAACTACTTTGGGGGTCTTTGTTAAGATGGCACATCTCTTGGAAGATTTACTTTTCTATTGAAATCACTAGTTTTATTTTCAATATTCCCATGGTGTTCTCTGTATTTCTTTCTATTAACAAATTTGTGATTACCCATGTCTAAAATCTTCCCTACATTTTCTCGAACTGATCAAATCATCCTTACCTTAGCCCTTTACCCCATGCCTATTTAGGCATTCAACGCCTTAAGGAAATAACTGATATACCCAAGAGACAGGTCAAAACTGAAATTCAGGTATTGTCTATGTCACATTGTAACTCAAATTTATCCAAACAGTTCATCCAGCAGGATGCCCAAGAAATGATCCCATGTAATCATGAGATAGGTACCTTTAATACACTAATATTCAAATGTATTTAAATAGAGAGAATAACAATACTCAAATGACCTCATCCATAAAGTAACTAGAGACATTTTCATTATAAACTTGTTCATAGTTTCAACCCAAGGACATCAAAAAAGATGCATACCTGGTCTATATCCTTGGAACTGGAGCTCTGGTTTTCTCCCATGACCCCAGGCTGCTCATTTTCCCACGGTAATTTACTTTTTCCTTTTCCTGCACTTAATACTCTTCGGGTACAGATAGTTGGGCTGTAAGATCCATAAATTTGCATGCTATCCCTCGTGTGATCACAATGACAATGTGCACTTTGAGTTCTGTTACCAGCCAAAAGCCAATCCGTATCTGCTCCGTGCGCCAAATGGCTGGATCTACCCTGGGCTGAGGACGGCATGAGGACTGCATATTCCACAAATCCCTGTTCTGTTAACCTTGGGAGGGTTTTCCTAGCCAATCTGGCCTGAACAGCATTCATCACTCCATCTCCGTTATCCTGCAATTCAACCGTATCCACAGCTTTGAAAAGGACGCTGGTTTTACCTGAGCCCATTGAGGACGCCAACACGGCAAAGGCTTCTAGAGCTGCTTGGCGCACCCTGCGTTTGCTATCTACAAGAGCTGGGGCAAGATCGAAAGACAGTTTGGGCAAGTCAAAATCCTCACTGGGATAGGTCAGCAAGGAGCAAATACAAATATTCACCACCTCCTCTCTCACTCTGGAATGCTTATGTTTGAGATGTTCCAGCAGTAAACAAAGCACCTGTTGAGGACCCACTTCCTTCATGAGCTTGAGGAAGATCTTCATGTATTCTTGCTTGATCACCAATTTGTTGTCTGCCAGCACTTTGACGGAGGCTGCGATTACGGGTCCCAAGAACTGCTGGACCTGCTCGCCAAGCCGAACCACCAGTACATGAAGGGCCTGAAGCGTTCCATGGACGACTTTAAAGTTAGAATCGTCTAACAAATGATACAGCAAGCTAATGAAACCGACAAGGCTAGAATGAGGGGTTGAAGTCGGGTTAAAGCGGCCGATCACCTGTTTGAGCTCCTCCACCGCCTGAGTCCGGTTCTTGTAGTCTTCCTGATCTAACAGTCTGGAATGCAGCTCCTGCGGGATGATCCCAAATTTAAGATTGCTATTGGAAAGGGTCACTGTACAGGGAAGGGGGTCTTCGGCAAAGCCAGAGGCTTCAAGTTCCAAATAGTAGGGAACCTGACTCCCAAAGTGGGACTCGAGGCAGCGATTGTAGTGTCTCCTCAGGGCCGACGGCAGGCGAGAGATATAGGACTGGAACCTCTCGTGACCGAGTCGCTCCCCGATTTGCTGGAGTGCAGAGAAGGCCGTCTCCGATTCTTCCTCGATTTCTTGATAACCCAGCTTCCGGGCGAGGGATATGATCACCTCGGTGAGATCGAGGCCAAGCAGCAAATCCTCAGGAGCGAGCAGGAGGGGGAACACGAGAGCCGTGGATGCCCTGAGCCGCGCGTCGGTGCTCTCCAGCCCCTGCTGTATGAGCGTTCTCAGCACCTGGCCCGCACTGCGCTTCAGACACACGTGCAGAATCTGCAGCGCATCTTTGCGCAAGGCGGGACTCTCTTCCCGCAAGGACGCCACGAGCTGGGGCAGGAGGGCTAAGCTAAAGGCTTCTTCCAGCTGGCCGGCCTCGCCCTGCCCCCGGAGAACGTCCGAGAGAAGTTGCAAGCACAGCCGCTTCTCTTCGCTCGCTCCTTCCACGAGCACCCGGCCCAGGGCCCGGTACAGGGCTTCCTTCCTCCGGGGGAAGCCCAGGCGGCCGCCCCGCCGCGGCAGAGCCGTCTGCAGGGCCTGGAAGGCCTCGGAAGGATCGGGCACGGTCCGCAGGAGCTGCAGGAGCCGAGTCTCATCTTCATCCCCCCCGGAGACAACACCTCCCGACCCAGACCAACTACTAGCGAGCCCCTCGGCGGGCATCAAGAGGGCCGAGGCCAGAGGCAACGGTGTCGGGGGACAGGATCCATGGTCTCCTGCAGCTCCGCGGCAGCAGTAGTTTTTTTCTCCTCTCATGATGCCCCCACCTCGACTAGCATCAGTCTCTGGGGCGGAAGGACGACTGCGGCTCTGGAGGCGGTAGGTGCAGGGGGCTGGAAGGGGCGGCAGCAGGAGCAGCGCAGTGGACGCAGCCGCCATGGAGGGTCTTCGGCTGGCGGAGGCTGGAGGCAACCATCGTCTCCGAAGGGCTCGATGGAGCCCAGCCTTCCTGCTCCTCTCCAAGCCCTGAGCTGCAGAGGAAGACGAGGCACGGCCTAAGCCAGCTGCCAATCGCGGCTGTCGGCCACTTACGGCAAAATGGCCCCCGCCGGAGCCCCAGACCCCACAGCTGCCACCAGGCGTAACCAGGGGCGCCACGTGACCAAACCGATCGCTTCCATGGTGATGTACCCAGCGCGGACCACTTAACCCGGAAATTAATCTGCCGTGAAGGCTGATGGGTCGTGTAGTACGTCAGGGGCTAAGAATAGTTCGGAGGCCCCAGAAAGGGGAGCCAGAACGTCGCGAACGTCGCGAACGTGTGAGGGAAGCGCGGACGCGAAGAAGGTGGGGCTAAGGCGTTCGGCGGAAGTGACGCACATAGGGCTCAGGGCGGAAGTTCTCCGCCCCACCCGTAAGAGCTGGGGTTTGCCTGTGAGCGAGCGAGGATTCTGCCTGGGCTCCCGTTGTCCACCGCCCTTCATTCTGTGGCTGCTGGCGCGATTCCTGGGACTCAGGTATTTTTCTTGGGCCGTCGTCCGCCGCCGTTTGTGCTCTGGCACAGTTTTGCCCCAGTGCCGCCGGTGCTCCCTCCAGTGAAAGGAACGAAGGCGAGGCAGAGAGAGAAAGAGAGGCGACATCTTCTCTTGCAGGGCTCGTTCCCGTTCGAATCAATCGCGTCGCGTTCTACCACCCGGAGTCAATGCGATTCTTTCCTTTTGGCTGTCCGCGGACCCGGACGGGAGATCGTGACCCAGCACTTTAGTTCTCGTTCTTTCTTTAATAATCATAATCATAATAATATAATTTTTTTTAACCTTCAGAATTCTGTTTTGGGGGCCTTTCCTTCTGTTTGGGGGGCATTTCCTTCGTCCGTCCAACCCCCGTCATTTGTCAGTTCCGTTCTCTAGCCCTGGAGGAATTCTTGGTTTTGGAATGGTGGGTTTGGTTTGGGTCCACCCCACCCCCACCCCCGCCCTTCTCTCCCCTTCTCTGCGGCGCTTGCGGTTCTTTCTGGAAACGTTCGGAACCTGAAGACTGCTGTGTGGCTCCCAAGAGCTCACCCCTCCTGGCTTACGAGTTCTCAAAGCCTCAGTGTAGATCTGTGGGACCCATTCCCCTCGCCCCCCTCGCGCCCCAGCGGTCCCAACGCAGGGTCCCTGCAGGGTCTTCGCGCGCGGCCCTGCAGCTTCGGTGTCTTGGAAATGGATATTGTTTGTCAAGTCGTTTTCCGTAGCGGTGGAAGTTCTTGGGCCTCGCGGTTCTAAGAGAATCCCGCCCGATAGATTTCAGGCTCCAAGTAGACGTTTCTTTGTTTCAGGCGAGCTGAGTTTGCTAAACATCTTCTTGTAGGTGTTGAGACTTAGGCAGATCCCAGAGATGAGCTCTCTGGGTGTGAGACGGAATTCGCTTGAGGGCGAGAGAGATGTTTGTTTTACTTTTGTTTTGTTTGGCGGCTGCACTTGGTGGTGCTGAGAGCTTACTCTTGGATCTGTGCTCAGGGATCCCCTTTGGCGTGCTGGGGGAGGTGGGGGGCGGGAGGGAGGGAATTTGGCGTGCTGGGATCGAATCCGGGTTGGCCATGCTCGAGGCTTGCGCTCTGATCCCTTGTACTATTTCTGCAGCCCCTGTTTTTCTTTTTCTTTCCTTTTTTTTTTTTTAAGGAATTCTCTGTGCGTTTTGAATGAGCCAGTGAGAAAAGCCGAGGTATTACTTAGATCCCCACTTTATGCACTTCAAATACAAGGGTTCCGACTCTGCCCTTCAGTACCTGAAATGTCTTTTTAGAATAGTTTCCAGTCTTGGTTGAGTCACATGTGACAGACCAGTTATCAATAATGTTTGATGATGTAGATTCAGAAATAATTGTTGGATGTTGTCTTAAAATCACAACTTGAAGGATGGGGGGGAGGGGAGAGAAGGGAAAGGGAGGGAGAAGGGAGAGGGAGGGAGAAAAGAAGGAGAAGGGTGAAGAGAAACAGAAGAGAGGAGAATGGAGAGAGGAGAGAGAGCATGATCGCTAAGAGCTGGAGCTCCTTGTCAGGGGCCTTTCACCGCCTAGATAGAGCCCTTCCGCCGCCTAGTTAGAGCCCTTTTACCGCCCAGTGATTTTCCCCAATGCGCCGCTAGAGGGGACCCCTGAGCCCCAAACTAGGCTAGCCCACCCAACCCCCACCCAGCTCCACCTAGTGTGGCCCAAGAAGTCAGGAGGCAGAGGGAGAGCACAGTTTGAATATCCTAGGTTTCTTTTATTTTGGGAATAGCACAAATGTGCTTGAGTCTTGGGGATGTAGGCAACCATACCGGTTGGTTTTTGCTTCCAGAGATTTGGGCCACACCCTGCGCTGCTGGGGAGAGCTTTCCCACCCAGGAGCTGGAGGGTGGCCGGAGACCATAAGATAGATAGCAGGGAGTCAGCCCAGGTCTTCCCTGTACAAAGCAAAAACCCCTGTGCCATCTCTTCTCTCTGGTGCACATCCTCATGTTTTTAAATAATTGGGTTATACATTGTTAACTTTGATTTTGGTCATATGATTGTTGACAAGCATTTCCTGGAATTCAGTTTGGCTGGCATATATCAGTGGGCCAAATAATACTTTTTTCCACCCCAGTGCTGGGTGTGGAATCGAGGTCATCACACATGCATGGCAAGAGCTGTACCCCTGAGCTACATCTTTGGCCTCTCCAAACTTTAAAAAAAAAAGTTTTTAAATTTCAGCCTATGTGAAAAGAATGATAATTATAGCAGTTAATGAAAACAATATCTAGATCTTACATAGAAACTCTTATTCTTTTATTCATATGCTCAAATTTCAGGAGGCTAATTAACACTACAGAATGTTGTACATATTAGAATTTACACATTAGAATTCCTGTTTATGTTGGAATAATAGTGATCAGAATTTTCAGATTGAAAATCCAGTGCACTTCTTTTTCGTATCCAAGAAGTTGGGAAGTCCAAGTTAATAAGTAGAGATTGTGTAGTAATCATGAAATTAAAGAAAAGAACTTGGAAAGTCTTGAACGATATTTCATCATCAGAGTATGGTAGAAACTTAAGAATTACCCTCTCTATAGAGAATATGTTTCAAGGGACTTGTGTACTTAAAGCAACATGAATCTTCATTTGCTTTGAACTATAGTTCACTATATTGTACTGAAGTATATGTAAATATAGTACCTTATTAGTATAATACCTCGTTTGTGGGATTTGTACCTCATCCGTCTAATATAGGTTATTTATTTTTATTTAAAAACAACATTTAAAAATTTCATTAAGTTTGTGGAATTTACACCTCATCCATGTAATAAGCGAATTGCTTATTTCCATTACAAAACAACTTATGAAAGTATTCTTATATTTCAAAAATTGAGGAAATTCTAAAAAATGAATATTGAGAAGTCTTTATGTGGTGCCAAGGATTAAGCACAGTGCCTTTTTGTATACAAATCATGCTGCTCTAAGTTCTGATCCTCAGATTTCTCATGAAATCTGAGAATTATAGAATAAAATGTTAAATCGATTACTTGAACAGCTCTGAAAGTTGGTTATCAAGAAGTTGGCTAAGGGTATATTAAAATTAACAAATTTATTTTAAGTTTTGGGATTTGAGTTAGTGTTTGTAATAGATATCTTTTTTTGCTTATTTAGGGGCCATACCTAGTGATGCTCAGGAGTTACTCCTGACTGTACCCTGGCGGTGCTTTGGGGACCATATGGGATGCTGGGGAATGAACCCCCCCCCCAGGCAAGGCAAAATGCCTACCAATTGTGCTATCACTCCAGCCCCCCCCCTTTTTTTTGTTAATTTTTTTTATTAGTGAAACACCATGAGGTACAGTTGTAGATTTACAATTTTTTGTGCTTGGGTTTGATTATACAATGATCAGATACCCATCCCTCCACCAGTGCCCATTTTCCACCACCATGGATAATATCCCCCCCACCCCCATCCCCCCATCCCCCCCTGCCTCTATGGCAGGGCAATCCCCTGTGTTCTCTCTCTCCTTTTGGGTGTTGTGGTCTGCAAAAGAGGCATTGAGTGGCAAACATGTTCAGTCCATAGTCCACTTTCGACATCCATCTCCCCTCCTGGGAGGGTCCTCCAAACACCCTTTATTTGGTGTTCCCTTCTCTATCTGAGCTGCCCTTTCCTCTAGAATGCCCAACTGGCCTCTAAGCTATGGAGTAATCCTCCTGGTGCTGATCTCAGCTATTCTTGGGTATTAATCTCATATTTTGTTACTTTATATCCCCCAGATGAATGCAATCTTTCTATGTCTATCCCTCTCTTTCTGACTCATTTCGCTTAGCATGATACTTTCCATGTTGTACCACTTGTATGTAAATTTCATGACTTCATCTTTTCTAACAGCTACATAGTACTCCATTGTGTACATGTACCAAAGTTTCTTTAACCAGTCATCTGTTCTTGGGCATTCAGGTTTCTTCCAGTTTCTGGCTATTGTAAAGAGTGCTGCAATGAACAAACAAGTGCAGATGTCACTTCGACTATACATTTTTGCCTCTCTGGGATATATTCCCAGGAGTGGTATTGCTGGGTCAAATGGGAGCTCAATTTCTAATTTTTTGAGAATCGTCCATACTGTTTTCCAGAAGGGCTGAACCAGTCGACATTCCCACCAGTAGTGAAGGAGTGTCCCTTTCTCGCCACATCCACGCCAGCACCGGTTGCTTTTGTTCTTTTGAATGTGGGCCAGTCTCTGAGGTGTGAGATGGTATCTCATTGTGGTTTTGATCTGCATCTCCCTGCTGATTAATGATGTAGAGCATTTTCTCATGTGCTTTTTTGCCATTCGGATTTCTTCTTTGAGAAAGTTTCTGTTCATTTCATTGCCCCATTTTTGGATGGGGTTGGATGTTTTCTTCTTGTGGAGTTTAACCAGTATTTTGTATATCCTGGATATCAACCCCTTGTCAGATGTGTATTCGGCGAATATCCTTTCCCATTCTGTAGACTGTCTTTGTATTTTGGTCACTGTTTCTTTGGAGGTGCAGAAGCTTCTTAGTTTAAGATAGTCCCATTTATCTATCTCTGTTTTCACTTGCTCGGCCAGTGTCCAGCCCCTTTTTTGAGTTGAATTTAAGGTAAAAGCAGTTGCTCTTAAAATAAATAAATAAATAAATAAA